ATTATGGTGAAACAATCATTAGTTTCTATACCAAGGTAACCTCATCTTCTTTCGGGAACTACCAATACACAAATGATGTCTTAGTGTGAGTATACCGATTTAAAAATTATGTCACTTCGGAAATTATATTTACAAAAAGGTTGTCCTTAATCAGATTGAACTATATTTAGAACAATTATTAGATAGATAGTATATATATATATATCCCATTTGACAGTAAAACACATGCTCAAACCCTTGCAACAACAACTCTTGGAGTGGTCTGTTGGTTGCCTGTTGCAAGGTAAAACTTCCACTATCCAAAATACCCTCATTTTCCAGTGCCCGTTGAAAAAGTTCTGCCCGCTATCCAGGTCGACCACTTTGCAGAAATTGGATTGTGTGTTTATTTGTTTTAGTCCTGAACATGCATGAAATATTTGCGACCGGGCGTTAAGCAAACAGCCAATCAATCAATCATATTTCCTTAAAAATCAAAATAGTATGCAATGCTATTCATATTGTCGAAGACCATTTTGATACAGTTTGGCAATTTTGCCACCAGTTGTAGATACTTAAAACTTCCTTAGATCTGTTGGAGTATATAATCCTTGCGCAATAATATAAAAAAAAACATTGGACATCTTCACTCTATACATCAGTTATCATCAATTATATACACTTTGTTAAACGAGTCAAATCAAAGAATAAGCCAGATTTTTTTTTCATCAAAAAGAACAGCCAACGTAGATGCAAAGATCTTGCTTTAGGAAGGGATAAATAATACTTTGTAAAATGACTCTAAGTTAAAACAAAATATTCTCTAAAACTGACATTCTAAATAAAAATATATTTGTTATATACACTTGTGAGGACGTGTTTTTCAACAGACAATCGGCATTCCTTTTGGAATCAACTGTGCTCCTCTTATCGACTTTTCCCTTTTTTCACATGAGGCAGATTCATATAGAAGCGTCTCAGGGAGAATGGAAAGAAGCTTGGATTATCCTATAACTTCAATTTTCGCTATATAGATGATGTCCCCTCTTTAATAATTCAAGGTTTGTTGACTATGTTGAACACGTTATCCCATCCAACTCGAAATAAACTTACATCTAGAAATTGAACGGGAACATCGGTTGAGAACTAATATTTACGACAAATGAGATGATTTCAGCTTTCCCATTGTTATTTTTCCTTTTCTATGAAGCACATTCCAAAAGTGCATGCACAGTTGATTGGATAGTGCAGAGCTTGTGTTATTTTAAGGAAACGATCATCATTTCTTGATAGAGATTTGCTGCTCACAAAGAAGGTATCAAAATATAAACCGAGGTTTCCTAGTAGTAAAGTTGAAGTTATCCCTTCGATAGTTTTACGTACGCCATCATGATTTGGTTGAATTTATGGAAAATCTGTGTCACAGATGACCACAGATAGTTTCCAACTGTAGCCACAACCCTTCCTCGTTTCCTCGATTGTGACTTCTTACAAATGAGACGTTTCTCCGAATTTTTACTGGCCATGAGGAAAATAGTAGGTGCCACAGGTGGAGCAGGATCTGTTTACCCTTCCGGAGCACCTGAGATGTTATTGTCAGTTTATTTATTATATGATTTATTTTTATTTCTTTGATTTCTGCTCTTTTTCTAGATAATTGGGAGACATTTTGAAAATGGCCCGTGTGAAATAACAAGAGACTCCCGAAAGCCTGTATCACTCATCTTGTATAAATATGCTACGTATATTTATATATTTGGTGCAATCATTTATCAATCACACAAACTTTGGTTAAAAATCATTCTGTAGTTTTAGAAGAGAAAATCTTGAAAAAGTTTACAACAGACAGATCAAGTTTTAACTTATTTGTAGACAATTTCGTTCATGCTCAACTTGCATTTGTATTTGTAGGTCTTATTTCGCTGAACATCTTTACTTATAGTTTACTAAGTACTAAGTTTAGCTGTATCTATCAAACTTTCTCCAAAAAATCTTTCAAGGGCAATAACTCCAATAAAGTTTAAGATTTTGGTCATGTTAACTTATTAGTAGATCTTACTTTGCAGAAAATTTTTGCCCCTTCAAGTTTCTTTCATAATTTCTGCAAAAAATTGAAAATTTAATAAAATTGTCTTTCAAGGTCAATAACTCCTATAAGAGATCAATTTACATTTTTGGTCAGTTGTCTTTTTTGTATTCCTTAACTTTCGGAACATTTTTGCTCGTAAATTTTTCTCTTTATCCTTAATAGTTTTCAAGATAATAACCCTAAACAGAAATTTCGTAAAATTTATTTTTATTTCAAGGGCAATAATTCCAAAAAAGGTTGTCAGATTGGTTCGAAAATTTCGTGGCAGAAAAATCTTAATTTGCAAAAAACTGCATCTTACCCATTTGTTCTATTTTTAACCATGGCGATTATGATTATCGATGGACAAGAATTAAAAATGACACCCCAAAATTCAAACTTGATCTGTATTTTGTGGTAATAAGCATTGTGTATAAGTTTCGTAGCATTTGGTTAAGGCAAACTAAAGTTAGAGAACGGAAGGAAAATTTGTAAAGGGGCACATAACTCTAGAACGGTTAAAGTGACGCCACCAAAATTCAAACTTGATCTGTATTTTGTGGTAATTAGCATTGTGTATAAGTTTCAAAACATTTGGTTGCGGCCAACTTAAGTAAGAGAACGGAAACGAAAAATTCAGCAATTTTTCCATTTGTAAAGGGGCATAACTCTAGAACGGTTAAAGTGACGCCACCAAAATTCAAACTTGATCTGTAATTTGTGGTAATAAGCATTGTGTATAAGTTTCATAACATTTGGTTGAGGCAAACTAAAGTTAGAGAACGGAAACCAGCTTTGGGATGTACTTACGGACGTACAGACGGGCAAGGGTAAAACTTAATGCCCCCTCTGCTACAGCGGGGGCATAAAAAACACAAACTTTATACTAGATATCCTAAGGATCATTTAGCCAAATTTTGGTCACAATTGGTCATGTGGTTTCAGAGGAGATCTTTGAAAAAGTTTCCCAGCGTCTAAGAACAGACAGACAACAGATGCAAATGAACTGCAAAAGCTTGCATGGCCTTTTAGGCCAGGTGAGCTTAAAAAGAGAATTGGGGATTCCTCTGAGAACTGGAAAGTACAGAATAAGAAAATGTTTATTTAAATTAGCCATGCAGTTTCCAAGTGGAATAAAATTGAAAATTGACAAATTAGAATCTATTTTTGCCTTTGGCTGCCATTTTTTACTAGAGAGGGGTTGAAAGGAAAATATAGAGTTTTTATACATTTTTCTGGTCACTTTTTTCAGTTTATCCATGTTTCAGAATGTGATGTTCACTAGGGTTCAATGGGATGATCATATGTGCCACTTTGTCATCATGTCGGCAAATTATAATCACATGAGGAATCACTGTAAAAGGTCTCAAAATCATCATTCCTGTAATGTTTCAAAATATTTGGCCTTGCAGTTACAGAAAAGAATTTGAAAATTGACCAATGAAAACAAATAATTGCCAATGGAGCCATGTTTTTTATTTGATTAGACAGAAATGAGATACTTTGACCTCAATTACAGTATTTCTATCCAGTTTTGTCCACATCAGCTCTGTAGATTTAGAAAGGATTAAACTTTATACAAGAAATGAGCTGTCAAATTGACAGCAAATTAGGTTTTTTGTATTTAGAAGGTACCCTTTATTGAATTTAAGAAGGCACCTTGTAAGAATGAACTTGATGTATTCTAATGTAGGGCACTTTCAGGCTTATTTGACCTACCACTTTCTGTGTCTATTTTCTAGCTATCTTAGTTCATGTTTAATGAACAGTAAAAGTGAAAAAAGTTAATATTGAACTTGATCTCCATTTTGTCATCAGTAACCACATATTAACTTCCAAAAAAATTGGTTGAACAGTTCATATTAGTTATTGCACTGAAACTGTTGGCAGCCTGGGGTTCTTCACCATTTTAATAACAGGATTATTCCTTTGGAAAACCTGTTTAAAATGTTGAAAGATTAACATACAATCAGCAGATGACAATAGACACCAAATGAAGGCAATAGCTCATCCTGACAATTTAGGCCAGATGAGTTTAAAATTAGTTTCATTGTGATGAAAGGTATCAGTGGCTGATCCAGGGGGGGGGGGTTCCGGGGAATGGAACCCCCCCTTTTTTTTTGATGATCAATGCATTTGAATGGGGACATATAGTTGGAACCCCCCCTTTATCCTGGGTTAGGAACCCCCCTTTTATAAATGGCTGGATCAGCCCCTGGGTATACAGTTGTGTATATGACTGTTCATCAGTGAACTTTTATGATGACTTCCTGTTGGTAGTTTTAAATCAGTGGGTTGCTGTAGTATTTCTGTATTTATCAGTTTAAAAATGACACCCTATTTTTGGTGGGGTTTAAGTGTTGCACAATCACAGTTTTTAGTTTTGTATGTTATGTTTTGTAGACTGTTGTTGGTCTTTTTGTCGCTTTTCCTTTTTTCCCATGACGTTGTCAGTTTGTCTTTTTGTCGCTTTTCCTTTTTTCCCATGGCGTTGTCAGTTTGTCTTTTTGTCGCTTTTCCTTTTTTCCCGTGGCGTTGTCAGTTTGTCTTTGACTTGTGAGTTTGAATATCCATTTGGTATCTTCCGAGGTCAAACAGTTTGTTATAATCCACTCAAAAACAAAAAGGGCTCTCTAGTGCTGTAATTGAATTTCTTGTATGATCAAATCTTATTAACTTTATTGTGTCATTGGTAATGTGCTGTCTAACACTGGCAGCTGTTTCCCTGTCCCTTTATGAACTGCTGTATATGTTCATTATTTTAAACGATTATCTTCCAAAAAAATAACACAAAAAAGTCCTATTTAAAGCATGAACCAAATTTCGATTTTTTTTAAAAATTCAATAATCATTTTCCTCAAGGCTGTTAATAGTGTCCAAATATGACATGATTTCAAAAATTCAGAAAGAAAACTCTTCGTCTACTTTTAATGAAAAGAATAAGATTTTCAGCTTGATAAAAAAAGTTTATTTAATAAACGACTGATTTACATCATATGCTGGTTTTAAGTGCTTTTCTCTGTGTGAACTGAACTTTTTGTAGCTAAATAAAAAAGGATATTTCGTAAATTACACAGAATTTTGTAATGTTCTGGAAATAAGATTAAATTGTCTATAAACAGCTTCTGTAATAAATTATATTAAAAAAAATCAATATATAGGGAAATTTATAATGATTCTTTCACATTCCATAATCATAATTCAGGTATGTTTTCAAGGAAATCTAAAATTAAAACAAACCTTGTGCCCAGTGAGATGTCATTCATTCAGGAATATACACAATGAAGCAAACATAATTATATTACAAACAAACAAAAATGAAGTCAAGACCTCAGGATTTAAATACTTGTCTAAATAGTATCTTTTTCAAACTAATTCACACATCCAAGTGATAGCATTTCAAAATGACTTAAAATGCCTGTATTACCACTCTTTCTTTTTCGAAAGTGAATTAGAAAATGAGTGGTTTTCCATTTTCATAATTTTTTGGGACTAAAACCTGATGCAGAGTTTAATTGCAAATGTCAAGGTCAAATTCGTATTTCACATCTACAAATTGCAGAACCTTTGATGCTGACATAAGCCTTGCGTGAAATTCGCTATCTAGTTGGTTTAGGACACAAGAAAAAAGGGTTCAGATATAATCAAGAAATGATGCTTCTAATATAGCAACATTTTATGACATAAATATATTCAAGCAGGATTATAAACTCTGTCTCAGCAACTTAAATTTGTCATTACTGCCATAATCTAGAATTTTTATCATTGTTATTTTTTTAGTTCTTATGAATTTGAAAATTTGAATTTCTATTAGGTCATACAAGTTTTGTGGAATGGAAAGTTTGACTTTTCATTGACTTATGTTAATAAATGCAGCTTTTGATTGTAAAAAAGAGACAGTAAGGTTTCTTTACATTTTCTCTATCTTATGTTTCTACTACTTGACAATTAGACATGATCTAAAATGAGGTAGACTATTTGGCTGTGCTAGTAAGGTTTTTTTCGTTTCTAATAATTGCAAACATTTTATATTGTTTTCTTTCAAAACTTTAAATCTAAAGAAAGAATGGAAATTAGTACAGGTGTTTCTTTAAATTCAGATATTATTGCGTGCGTTTATTATTGCGATTTTTCAAAAATGGACAAGAATGCGAGTTCAATTATTGCGATTATAGAAAAATCTACATATAGATCAATGGTTTAGCTATCTAAATGCGAGTTCTTATTATTGCAATACTAACCGAGTCGCATTATTCGCATTAATAAAAACTTCGCAATAATTTCTGAATTTACAGTACTCATCTCAATTTCATTTTCCATGCTCCTGCAATGGTCTTGCAAATTAATAATTGTGTTATACATTAAATATATTTAGATAAAGCTCAACATGTTACTTAAAATCTATTTACAACTGCAAAATTACTGCTCAGTTGAATTTAACATCTGTTAATAATTTAATCAATTACATGTCTAAATAATTATGGTGAAATTTGACATTACTTCTGGTAAATATCCATTAACATAGAATGGCTTTAAAACATAGTTTCTATTTTATCTAAACCTATATTTAATCCCAATCACTTGATGATTTAGCAGATTTCTACTTATATACTGACCCACAGCCATTCATATGCCAAATATCTAACATGTGAGAATAACTTATTTTATCTCATAAAGATTACATATTGTAACTATAAAAACTCGTCAAAGATATCAGGCTTATAATTTTGTGCGCCAGACGCACGTTTTGTCTACAAAAGACTCATCAGTGACCATTCAATCAAAAAAGTTAAAAGGACAAAAGAACAAATACCATTTATTTCTAATGATTTTAAATATTTTCATGTTCATTTGGTTCTGGTATTGTTCAATTTAGTTCCAGTAAACACCAGTTCAAAACACAGAAATGTTTTAAAGTTGTGATTACAATCTAGTAATACTGAATAAACAGCTGCACCTGGAGAACATGGTACACCCATCTTACGCACAAGAATAATATGGAATACTGTAGAAGACATTTAATAGGAAGTCAGTAAAATGGCTCTGCAGAAAAATTTACTTGAATCTGATTGGTAAAGTTCATTGACTCTTGAATAACAAACCAGATAATTTTCAGAACTGAAAGTGACCTAACATTACCAATTCCAACAACAGTGTTAAGTTTTAAATAATTCAATCATATACTCGAGTTAGTGCACTTTATGTGAAATATTGCCTTATATCCTGTAACTCTGGAATGACTAAACCTAAAAAAAAAACAAAAACAAAAGGGACCTTTTCCACCAATTCAAACATTTAATACTAGTTACATGAAATTCGATCAAATAATTCTCTTGCTTTTGTATGACCTGTACAGGTACAAAACCACTAATTCAGGGCCTGGTCAAGAATAACATGTAAGAAAGTAGTACACATTTCAGACAAAATAGTTCCTACGCATAGCTGGAACTTTGAAAATAATTATGTAAAATATTTGGGTAATTTTGGTATGAAATGAAAGATTAAGGACCTGGGATCACTATTGAACCCATTTTAAATGATTAATTTCAATAATATAAAAGTTATATGAAATTGAAATAGAAGGGTATTTTTTGCGTGTTTCTCAGGTGATTAGTACCTGTGTTTGTATTTCCTGCCTTCACAGAACCAGTGGGCTTTTATACGAAGTTAAAGGAATGTTCAATTTTCAGCACAAGCCAGACAAGGTATTGTTTTGACATAATAATACCGTCACTTTATTTAAACTGAACACAAAATAGCTATGAACACCTGAAATTGGTGAATTTAACATAGAAAGTAACATAGTGGTCTGATACCTGGAAGGACAGACAGACAACAGTATACCATAATAAATCCCTTCTACGATGGACTTATAAATACTTTAAGACAGTTTAAATAACAAGAGATCTGTAAGATTGGTTACCATTTTGTTGCATCTAAGAGTACAGTCATACTTCACAATCATCCATTCAAGACATTAAAATCACAGGCTTTATTTGAATAACAATTCCCAATGACCTCTTCAATTTGAAACTGAAAAATGTTTTGGGTATAAATATGGATTCTTCCCTATTTAATCTTACAAATATTTATATATTACTTAATAAGTGGAGCATAAAAAAGTTTATTAAAAAAAAATTTTTTTTGTGTTTTCATTCTATACAAAGAATTGTATATTCACTATCACAAATCTGCTTCCCTACTTGTCAAGGATTTTTTAAGCAAATGTTAGTGCATTGATTATATAATGCAAACAGATTTTGCCATATATGCAAATTTTAAAAACTGATATATATTTTATAAGAATAAGAATGAAATATATGCAAATAGGAAAAATATGATGAAGTGACCCAAAACAGACCCTCTTAACTGATTCATTATCATATAACTATAAAATATTCTTAATTTTAATTTAAATTTAGTCCAGAAAAATCTCATTTTACTGATAAGATCAACTTTCAATGGTTTTCAAATCTTAGTCCTTTGCAAACTCTGCAATGGAAAAACTTTCAGACAGATTACCTCAATTTTTTTCCATAGATTTTGACTATATATTCAATATCTACACATATTAAAGATGCCTTAGTTCAAATAAAGAGGTTTGGAAGAAAAAATGTTACTAACATTGAAACCAATCCAATTTTCAAGTTTTTAGGTGAAACACATTCCTAGCCTATAATGTCAATTCATTTCCTATTATATATACACTGCCTGTCTGATCCTTAAACAGGTATAACAATAAATCTAAATCATATCATCAGGGGAGGCTACTCTGTATTCACAATTGGTGGAAACTGAACTGACATCATTTCTTTCTTACCGAACAATATTCTATTTTCCTCATCTAAGCCTTAATATTATAATTCATACTAGGCGAAACACTAAAATAATGTTCAAATAGTTCCATAATGATGACAATGAAAACTTTTGTTCTTTAAACAAAAAAACAACAATCAGTCAAAAGCCATGAACAAGTTAGTCTAGTAATCTAATATTACATGATGTAGTCATAGATTTTTTGTGTGCAAACAATTTAAATGTCGGTCTGTGGAGATCAATGTAATATAATGTTCTAACAAAAACAATCAATTTTAAACTTCAATAAAACAGTAATCATACAAGCCATAAGTCTCTGTTGACATAATGATATTTGATCACATGATATAAGTAGGTATAACATACAATGAGGTGATATTATGGAGGGCAAGACCAGAGTTATAGGTTAATACTACTTTGTCATGTCAGTTATCTCCCTTATTTTGTAATTCTACTTCCTATGCAAAGAAAAGTTTCCTGATTCCTCTACCATATCCCTTTCGTATCTTCTTAGTAATTTCAGAGATTGCATCGAAATTTTTGTGCAATGTTAAAAAGGTCAATAACTTTCAAAGCAAATCTGAGAAACTGTGTTTATAGTAATAAATTTTATTAAAAAAACTTTATATAATTTTCTTTTAATCAAATTTTGAAAAAAATTAACATTTTACAAGTTCATACCAAGGTCAATAACTATTGTCATTTTTTTAAAAAGGAGATGGTACATTTTTTAGTTTTCTTGGGCCTGCAAATTCACCAAAACTTGTATGATACAATTATTAATCACAATTTTCACACTTTAATAACATTTAATCACATGTCAAAATAAAAATTTTCAGAAAATGTTAGTATAAACTTAAACGTAATGATACATTTGGCCTGTAACATAATTGAAGTAATATCATAAGGAAGATTGGTAAACAATTTTCAGCAATAATACACAAAGTTCCTTGTGGTTGACTTAACATAGAGCACATGCCTCCAGGTAATAAACAGAAAACACATTTCCTCTTTTTGGGCATGATTTAGGCCCTTTATTGTTTCACAGAATGTAAGAATCAAACAGTCAAGATTTTGAAATAATTTGTCATCTAATTTAATTTGATGTTGTTGCATGGCTGTATTAATTGTGAAATGGAAATACTTTTAACAAAAAACTGCAGCGTTTTTCCAAGTGCATAGATTTTCAATATTCAATTCGGCAATGTAAGGAAATTTAGTAAAACAATTTACTGGCCAAGTTGACCTCAAATGGAACTTTCTTCTTTAACATCAAGACAGAAATTATAAAGAAAAATAAAACTTTTATATTACAAGCATTATCATCTTTGTACATCATGTGCATTAGACAACTTCAGAAGCCATTATAAATATAGCCCATAACAAAAAAAAATTATGAATCATTGAAAATCCCTTTAGGGGCCGTTCCAGAATTAAACTCATGGGGGGAGGGGGGCATGAGAGGCACTTTCTTTAGACAATAACTACCCATAATGTAAAATTTTTTTTTACGTTTAACTTTTACATATTCTAAGAAAATGCAATTGCCCACAAATAATTGAGTGCCTTCCATCACCCTACCATGAATAATTTTGGAACAGCCTGTTGATTTACATCCGTACAGAATGATAACTATTGATTTTGCTGACAAATGGTCGATTTATAACAATGAAGTCATCCATAGTATTGGCGTTACCCTTCTCCTTGCCCTCCAGCATAACAATATCACATATGAGTTTCATCATCAACATAAATAACAAAAGGACGTAGATTTGTTAAAATGTCTATAACACATGAATATTAGCTGAGTAAATTCTCTGTCGCTCTTTCTATATCCCAATTATGTGACGATAGTGCTACTCTAGCTTTGCCCTGAAAAAGATTAGAAAATTCATAACTTTAATGTGGCATAAAGCACATGTGTTTCGTTTATTTTAATGTTTATGAATAAATACATAATTGTATACACTAAGCAAGACTTACTGCTTACTTCACCATAGCAAATTGTAGTTTTTATTAATCTTGTATTGCAACTTTATCATTCTAAGTTAGATAGTAGGCAAATATGATAGACATTTTTAAACCGGTACACATTATTTTTTTGTTTCATGTTGATCGAAGATCTCTTTTCTTATAAGAAGAAAGGTTTTGTGTCAGTCAAGTGATAAATAAAATGCTTCGCTGGGCGCAGCTTGATACGACCGCAGAGGTCGAACCCTGAACAGTTGGGGCAAGTATGGACACAACATTCAAGCTTGATACAGCTCTGAATTTGGATTGTGATTAAATATTTGACACAGCATAGGTTTCTGACACAGAAAGAATGTGGTCTAAGAACTTCAATTTTTTTAATTTACCTATTATGGTCCAATGTCCAAAATCAAAATACATGGTTAGATTCAGCATATCAAAGAACCCCATATATTCAATTTTTGTTGAAATCAAACAAAGTTTAATTTTGGACCCCAACTTGGACAAACTTGAAAACTGGTCCCATAATCAAAAATCTAAACACATGTTTAGAATCAGCATATCAAAGTACCCGAAGAATTCAATTTTTGTTAAAATCAAACTAAGTTTAATTTTGGACCCTTTGGACCTTAATGTAGACAAATTTAAAAAACGGGACCCAAAATTAAAAATCTAAAAACACGGTTAGATTTGGCATATCAAAGAACCCCAATAATTAAATTTTTGATGAAATCAAACATAGTTTAATTTTGGACCCTTTTGACCTCAATATGAACCAATTTGATAGCGGGCCCACAAATAAAAAATCTAAATACATGGTAAGATTCAGCATATCAAAGAACCCCATATATTCAATTTTTGTTGAAATCAAACAAAGTTTAATTTTGGACCCCAATTTGGACCAACTTGAAAACTGGGCCAAAAATCTAAAATCTAAATACATGTTTAGATTCAGCATATCAAAGAACCCCATATATTCAATTTTTGTTGAAATCAAACAAAGTTTAATTTTGGACCCCAACTTGGACCAACTTGAAAACTGGTCCCATAATCAAAAATCTAAACACATGTTTAGATTCAGCATATCAAAGAACCCCAAAAATTCAATTTTTGTTAAAATCAAACTAAGTTTAATTTTGGACCCTTTGGACCTTAATGTAGACCAATTTAAAAAACAGGACCCAAAATTAAAATCTAAATACACGGTTAGATTTGGCATATCAAAGAACCCCAGTAATTCAATTTTTGATGAAATCAAACAAAGTTTAATTTTGGACCCTTTTGACCTCAATATGAACCAATTTGATAGCGGGCCCACAAATAAAAAATCTAAATACATGGTAAGATTCAGCATATCAAAGAACCCCATATATTCAATTTTTGTTGAAATCAAACAAAGTTTAATTTTGGACCCCAATTTGGACCAACTTGAAAACTGGGCCAAAAATCTAAAATCTAAATACATGTTTAGATTCAGCATATCAAAGAACCCCATATATTCAATTTTTGTTGAAATCAAACAAAGTTTAATTTTGGACCCAACTTGGACCAACTTGAAAACTGGGCCCATAATCAAAAATCTAAACACATGTTTAGATTCAGCATATCAAAGAACCCCAAAAATTCAATTTTTGTTAAAATCAAACTAAGTTTAATTTTGGACCCTTTGGACCTTAATGTAGACCAATTTAAAAAACGGGACCCAAAATTAAAAATCTTATTACACGGTTAGATTTGGCATATCAAAGAACCCCAATAATTCAATTTTTGATGAAATCAAACAAAGTTAAATTTTGGACCCTTTGAACCTCAATGTGGACCAATTTAAAAACGGGGCCCAAAATCCAAAAACTTAATACACGGTTAGATTCAGCATATTAAAGAACCCCAAGAATTCAAGAATAAAACCCCATTGAAATTGATCAAGAAATAAGCAATTTATACGAAGTATCTTCTTTTGCACAATACTGTGCAATTGAATATTTCTTGCTATTGCGCAATACTGTACAATTGACAATTTCTTGCTATTGCGCAATATTGTGCTATTGGATATTTCTTGCTATTGCGCAATACTGTGCAATTGAAGATTTCTTGCTATTGCGCAATACTGTGCAATTGAAGATTTCTTGCTATAGTGCAATACTGTGCAATTGAAAATTTCTTGCTATTGCACAATACTTATTATATAATAATTTACACATCCTGTTTGGTGTGTATCTCCTACCCTATCATTATTATTTGCTTTTAAATATAAATCAGAAATAACCAACTTAAAATGGAAAATTTTAAAAGAAAAAAAAAAAGAAAAAAAGAAAAAAAAAAAAAAAAAAATCCCCCCCCCCCAAAATTTTTTGAACCCCCTTATGATTCATCACCCCCAAACTCAATCCCAGCCTTCCCTTTGTGGTATGGTACCTTGCAGTACAATTTCAGAGAGATCCATACACTTGAACACAAGTTATTGTCTGGAAACTAGAAAAATGCTTATTTTTGGCCCCTTTTTGGCCCCCAATTCCTAAACGTTTCGGGCAATTACCCCCAAACTCAATTCCAGCTTTCCCTTTGTGATATGGAACCTTGTAGTACAATTTCAGAAATATCCAAACACTTACACACAAGTTATTGTCATGAAACTAGAAAAATGCTTGTTTTTTGCCCCTTTTTTGGCCCCTAATTCCTAAAATTTTGAGGCAATTACCCCCAAAATCAATTACAGCCTTCCCTTTGTGATATGGAACCTTGTGGTACAATGTCAGAGAGATCCATACATTTACACACAAGTTGTTGTCTGAAAGTTACAAAAATGCTTATTTTTGGCCCCTTTTTGGCCCCTAATTCCTTAACTGTTGGTACCATAACCCCCAAAATCAATCCCAACCTTCCTTTCGTGGTATTGAACCTTATGGTGAAATTTCATGGAGATCCATTCACTTAAACTAAAGTTAGAGTGCGAAAACCAATGTGTCTTCGGACGACGCCGGACGACGACGACGACGACGACAACGACGACGACGACGACGACGACGCCAACGTCATACCAATATACGACCAAAAAATTAAAAATTTTTGCGGTCGTATAAAAACTGAAATTTGAACTCATTTGTTTCTCAGAGAACAAGCAGTATTAGTAAACTGTTGTGTTTTTGCACTGAATAGGTAGCATGTGAATTTGAGGTCATAGTGACCTAGTTTTTGTTATATTAAAAATGAAATAAACTGTAATCACAGAGATATGTCTCACCTTTTTGTTATTTTGATCATGCAAATGTTGAAATTAAAATAGCAATACTTTATCATGGAAGTTATGCAAATATTCAAAGTCAATGAACTATGACTGCAGGTACAGGGCTCAACAATCTCCATGGAAATGAGATATGCCAATGCTAATACAACTGCATACCAAATACCATTGACTTATCATAAGTCGTTCCCATTAAACAAACCTAAACACAAACATTAACTTGTACACTATGTAAAAATTTCAAAGTCAATGAACCATGATGAGTGGGTGGTGCTATATAATCTCCTTGGAAATGAGAATTGCAAATGCCAATACATTTGCATACCAAATATCATTGACTTAACATTAGTGGTTCATCTTAAACTGATCTTATCACAAACTAATATATGTAAACTAAGCAAAAGTTTCAAAGTCAATAGACCATTAACAAGGGGTAAGGACCAAATATTCTCCATGGAAAATAGATGTGCTAATGCTTATACAACTGCATACCAAATATCATTGACCTACCACTAGTGGTTCCCCATAAACTGACCTAATCACAAACTAATACATGTAAACTAAGCAAAAGTTTCAAAGTCAATATAGACCATGACTGAGGGGGCAGGGCAAAATAATCTCCTTGGAAATGAGACTGGGAATGCTAAGACTACTGCATACTAAATATCACTGATCTTCCACTAGCAGTTCACCATAAACTAGACCTTATCACAAACTAATACATTGTTGACGATGATACTGCCGCCGATGCCAGAAGAAGCATACATACATGTATGTCTCCATCAAGGCGGTACATCTGATGAACCTTGTCAGACAGACATGTTCACCTTAGGCCACCCTTAACAAATATTTTGTAGATGTTGCCTTCCCATGCCTTATATGGTTGGGTAGGTCGGTTGGGATTTTGTTTTTTTTGGCAAACAACATAAGTTACATGTTTAAGACAAGAAAACGACATGAGAGCATGACATTTTTTTAAAAAAGAGATGTGTCTGAATGACACGAATGGCCTTGTTTGCAAAAAAGCAAAATGTAAACTCAGTCTAAATGGTTGTAGTAGACTCACATGCTAAAAATCAGCTCAATATGTGAAAGCGTTTAGAAAAAAAATCTGTAAAAATGTTTGTTGCAGAATGACAGAATGACGGATAAGGGTAAAACAATATGGCCCCAACAACTTTGATGCGGGCCATAAAAAAATTGAAACGATTTGTGTCATAAAATTTTTCGGGTAGGTAGGCAACATGAAATAATTCTAATTCTATTTTTGGCCTTACAAGCATTCCATACACAAAATATAGTAGATTTATTGCTTATAGCAATGAATATTGTTTACATTGGCACTAACATCGATTTTGTATCAACAAATTAAAACATAACTAAATTTGTATTCTTTTCGAATGGTTTATGAGATGTATAAATACACATCCATGTTAATTTTCTATTTTCTTACAAAATAATAACTAAATTATTTTCAGGAAATAGAAATAATATTATCATTAATTCAATACAATAAATAGAAGTACAATAATTATGTTTCAAAGGTTTTTTTGGTATATGTGTTTGTATGTCAAAATATTTACCTATATTCTCTGATGCTCAGTTCGAAATTTAAATCAAAATCATGTTTTCCATGGCAAATCACCTTTTTATATGCCAAATCACACAATAATGTTGCGTGCAAGAAATAGGTTGCTAATATTCAAGGTTAATCATGTGTAGTACTGTCAGCAAGTACATAAATATAGGATAATTTAGAAAGCAGGTATGATTTTGTCTTGACACCAATCAGCAATACAAAGCATATAAATACAAGTTACTAAGGAAATGTAGAAATAAATGGTGAATGGTGTCCATGGGACACAGATGATGCCCAGTGTTCTCCATTTTTCACTAAGGTAAGGTGGGTGTTATGAAAAAATCACTTGCAACCGGTTGGTTTTTTTTTTGTTTTAACATTTCCAACCTGGTTTAATTTTACTGTTTTTGGGGACACAAAAAGAAGGATTAGTATTGTATTCACATTTAATAAAATTGAACCATTCTTCTGCTATCACTGCTAGCCTTTCATTTGACAAATTAGTTTTTCGCATCCCGGATAGCAGATATGGCTTTTGCAGGACTCCCTTCTCCTGCATATGCATTGCTTATCGATCCAAGTTTCTGTCCTGTTCCTCGCTTTAGTGTTGTATTTTTGGCACACAGAACAGAAATATCCTCCTTCTGTGCTGATTAGCCATTTAAAGTCCTATTCATATTTATCAGCTTGGGAACAACCCCTCAAATGAGGGGTAACCTCTCAATGTAATAAATATCCCATTTATGAGGGGTACATTTCACGAGATACAAATGAACACATATTTATTTTATTTACAGAAACTTTCCCAAAGAACTATACATCTATTTTGTATTATATGGTCAAAACATGTCCAATAATTTTGTAATATTCCTGGACTTCTATCTTTATCATTATGACATTAAAAATAATGGGACCCTCTTTTAAAAAAGTTGTTCCAACATAACGATTTTTCCCACTTTTAAGTTAAAAAATCTAAGTTTCTCTCTTTTCTTTTCTTCAACAGTATTAACATGACCTCTTGCCAGACAGACAGTCCCTCATTTAAGGGATATCTCTCATTTGGGGGATTGTTCCCAACCTGTTCATCTTCGCGATCGCTTGCGTGCCTTTTCCGCTGTTTTGATACTTTTTTTTCAAATTCAACAATTACAATACAACTATCCGTTTTAGTTGACTTATTTGGCCTAGAATTTTCCTTATCACCATCGTCATCTGCCTTTCTCTTCCCACGATTAATAAAAGAAAACATTGAAATTTGACGATCCGCCATTTTTGTCAATGAAAACAAACAGCGAGACGCGATTAGTATTTAAACTTTTACGGTGCAGAACCGAAAAAAATACAGAATTTGAAAAAAAAAAGCTGACCACCTCCTAAAATGGAAAGGTGGATCGGCTTTCAAAAGAAGGTGGTCGGCACACCTGGCTTAAATGCCGAATGGAAAACACTGATGCCACCACTTGCATTTAAGGTTATAAAGGGACATAACTCAAAAACTGTAAAAGTGACGCTACCCAAATTTGTAATTGATCTGAGTTTTGTTGTAATAAGCATTGTGTATAAGTTTCATAACATTTGGTTGAGGCAAACTAAAGTTGGAGAACAGAAACGAAAAATTCAGCAATTTTTCCATTTGTAAAGGGGCATAACTCTAGAACAATTAAAGTGACACTACCAAAATTCAAACTTGATCTGTGTTTTGTGGTAATAAGCATTGTGTATAAGTTACATAACATTTGGTTGAGGCAAACTAAAGTTAGAGAACGGAAACCAACTTTGGGACGGACGTACGTACGTACGGACGAACAAGGGTAAAACTTAATGCCCACTCCACTACGACGGGGGCATAAAAATAACAACAAATATGAAAACATTTGTATGCCACAAATTGGTGGAATTTTGTGACACAAAATTGGCTACTGTCAAAACTTGCCAGGTACGTTACGTTCACACAAAGATATCACTGAGTAATTTAACGTTCATAACATACCACTTTTCATAAAATCAATGATTTAGAGTATGACATATTGTATAGACACCTGTCTGTTGTTGCCCTCTAGATGTCTTTTGGTTATATTTGTTGTTTGTCTTATTGGTGTATCCCCACATTTATTTTTATTTATAACTGAATTTAAGAACTGAAAACTTAGGGGCTTTCACATTTATTGAACAGAACCCCCATTGCCAATTCAAAAGTAATAGCACTTTCTACATAATATTTACCTCATCAAATCCCATTCCCATTACTTGTGTAATTTTATTTTCTAAATCCAATTCTCTATGGGGACCTACAAAAAACGTATAATTTCATATAACATACAACATTTCATTTTGTTTTTGTTTACTGTAAATTCAGAAATTATTGCGATGTTTTTATTATTGCGAAAAATGCGACAGGGTTATATTCGCAATAATTTAAACTCGCATTTTGAAATTTTTTATTTGAATTAAGCAGGATTTTTCTCAATATCGCAAAAATTTAAATCGCAATTTAGTTTAAAATGACAAAATCGCAATAATAAATGCACGCAATAATTTCTGAATTTACAGTACTTAAATAAGTTTCTGTTTTCTATCATATTTTTGCTGTTTATATCACTCTCTACTATCATTGAAAATAGTGATGTTCTGATATCGATTATAATCCAACAAGACAAGCAATTGTACAATTCCATAATCAAGTATAATCCCTTATAAAGAAATACTTTGAAGGCTTGGAACTCTCTTTAAAGTCATATGAAACCTTGAAATTAAAAAAAAAAGTTGAATATGTTTTATATACTTGAATGGATAAGTTTCACTATATAACAAGTGTACGCAAACTTTCTTGTAAAAGAAAATCCTTTATATTATCAAAATCTTCATAAATGTACTGCTATTGAATTATTGTCTTCCCGTACACTGATTCACCAATATTTCCACGTATGAAGTGACCTTAACTACAAGATCTCTCGTTAGAACTTTGGCCACCACACAGCACAAGTGCAAGGGGAAAAACCGTGAATGAAAGAATGTAAATAAACGTGCACTGGAAGGTAAATAGTAATAACTGATGCTTAAATAAATGTGGATAGTGTCCACATGTGGACACAGATGATGCCCCCGCTTGCATATCATAATAGTTATAAAGGGACATAACTGAAGAACGGTAAAAGTGATGCTACCCAAATTTGAACTTGATCTGAGTTTTGTGGTAACAAGTATTGTGTGTAAGTCTCATAACATTTGGTTGAGGCTAACTTAAGTAGAGAACAGAAACTAAAAATTCAGCAATTTTGCTATTTGTAAACACGCATAACTCTAGAACGTTTGTGTATAAGTTTTATAACATTTGGTTGAGACAAACTAAATAAACTGCTTCGCTGAGCGCAGCTGGATACGCCTGCAGAGGTCCAACCCTGAACAGTTGGGGCAAAAATGGACACAATATTCAAGCTTGATACAGGTCTGAATTTGGATTGTAATTAAATATTTGACATATTATAGGTTTCTGAATAAATGTAGTCAAAGAACTTGAAATTGGTTATATGAATTAAATTTATATTCAATTAAAGATTTCTTGCTGTTGTACAATACACTGTGCTGTTGCGCAATACTTAGTAAATCTGTTGTCAGACTATAAACAAATAAAATCTTATAACTCGGAAACGTATAATCGAAAATTTATAAAAATCAAAAGGGAGCTTACATCAATAGATGTAAACAATTTATGAAAGTTTCATAAAAAATGCTTTCAGCATTTTTGAGTTATTGTCCGAAAACTGGAAAATCCCCCTTTTTGTAATGAAAAAAAAACCCATAAATCGGAAACGTATGGTCTAAAATTTATAAAAATTAAAAGGGAGCTCATGTCGATAGAAATAAACAATTCACCAAAGTTTCTTGCAAATTGGTGAAATTGTTTTTGAGTTATTGTCCGAAAACTGGAAAATCCCCCCTTTTTTAATGAATAAAACCCCAAAACTTGGAAACGGTAAATCTGAAATTTTAAAAAAAAACAAAAGTGAGCTCATGTCAATAGATATAAACAATTTACAAAAGTTTCATGCAAATTGGTGAAATTGTTTTCGAGTTATTGTCCGAAAACTGGAAAATCCCCCCTTTTTTAATGAATAAAACCCCAAAACTCGAAAAACGGTAATCCAAAATTTATAAAAAACGAAAGGGAGCTCACATCAATAGATATAAACAATTTACTAAAGTTTCATGCATATTGGTTAAAGTGTATTTGAATTAATGTCCGACATGTTGACGACGGACGGACAACGGTATACCATAATACGTCCCGTAAACGGGCGTATAAAAATTCAGCAATTTTTATGTTTATAAAGGGACATAACTCAAGAACAGTTAAAGTGTCGCCACCAAATATTGTACTTAATCTGTATTGTGTAGTAATAAGCATTGTGTATAAGTTTCATAACATTTGGTTGAGGCAAACTAAAGTTAGAAAACGGAAACAAAAAATTTGTACTTGATCATAATTTTGTGGTAATGAATATTGTGTATAGGTTTCATAATGTTTGGTTGGGGCAAACTTAAGTTACAGAATGGAAATTAAAAATTTTGCAATCTTTCGATTTATAAAGGGGCATAACTCAATAATGGTTAAAGTGACACTACCCAAATTCAACTTGATCTGTGTTTTATCAGTGGAAGTCAAAATTAAACATTGCATTGTATAAAGCATTGATTGTAGTTGATTCAACTATAATCACGGACAAAGGAAGATAACTCTAATTTTAAAAATTGCTTGATATTTAGAAGAAAATAAAAATTTTGCAATTTTTCCATTTCTAAAGGGGCATAACTCTAGAACAATTAAAGTGACGCCACCAAATTTCAAACTTGATCTGTGTTTTGTGGAAATAAGCATTGTGTATAAGTTTCATAACATTTGGTTGAGGCAAACTTAAGTTAGAAAACGGAAACTAAAAATTTTGCAATTTTTCCATTTATAAAGGGGCATTACTCTAGAACTGTTAAAGTGACGCCACCAAAATTCATACTAGATCTGTGTTTTGTGGTAATTAGCATTGTGTATAAGTTTCATAACATTTGGTTGAGGCAAACTCAAGTTAGAGAACGGAAACCAATTTTGGGACGTACGGACGGACGCACGTACAGACGGACAAGGGTAAAACTTAATGCCCCCTCCGCTTCGGCAGGGGCATAAAAACAAAATTAAAGCAACAAATCATTTTAACAACTGTAACTCGTTTCATATGACTTGAAATGGTTGCAGTATACATTGAGATTCAATCCCTGTAAATATGCTCTTCCTGAATATGCATATTATTGTTTCAGTATACCAGAACTCTTTTATCTTTATTTTTAATAACCAATTCACCATAGGCTTATTAAAAAAATATTGCCGTGCACAACTACAGATGGTAAATTTTGCCAAGTTTCATTCCATTTCTATGTAAACAGTACGAGAACTTGTGATACTTTTATGAAGAATGGACAGACAGAGGAGATCTTGCATCTTTTCTAATTGATCAAAATCAATGAACAATGACTAGGGGACCGAGGCTTATAATCTTCGTGGAAATGAAATGTGATTATACTAATACAACTACATATTAAATATCATTGACTTACCATTAGTGGTTCCCTTAAAACTGACGTAATCACATACTTTAAGTATGTCAACTATGTAAATGTTTCAAAGGCAATAGACCATGACTAAGGGGGTGGGGTAAAAATAGAGATGTGTTAATGCTGAACAATTACAAATCAAATATCATTGAATTACCATTAGTGATTCCCCTTTAATTTCAACTGGGTTGTAAGCCCTACCATATTGGTTGAAGCATGTAAAAAAATGCCAGTAACCATTATAGTTACAAGTTCCCATTATGGTGTCATAAATATAAGCCCACCTCAAAACCAATAGTTTATTAAGTATCAAAGAACTCAACTCTGATAATAAGCTTTACCAAAGCAATGAGTACTTAACTTATCATGATCAAAATGTAAGTCATAGTGACCTTCTTTTGATGCAGGACTATTTAAGATACATCAGTTAATTTTCATGATCAATTAAATCATATTATCTGAGTATTGTTTTCATGGTACATGTTTAAAAAAATTTAACTTGTCAATAACTGTGAAATGCAAATAGTTAAGTAGTGTTTAATTAATCTGATATGATACTTAAAATATCTATATATAGTTGTATGTTATCAAAAACTTATCAAAGTATTAAGGAAATGAAACTTTATAAAATTTTGTTTTTAATGAAAAATCAATAAGAAGGGGATACAGATAACAAAGAAAGTAATCTGGTAGCAAGGGATATTAATATCTGAACTTGCAGATCTGAGAACTTGATTCACCAGCACAGCACACTTAATATTCACATGAGCATTGACATTATTTCCAATAGTTTATATCTCGATCTAGTCACTTTTAAATTTGAAAAAGATATATATACAAACCACCGGCATATATATTTGTCCAATGTCTGGCTGTTTTTATAAAAATTTCTGGACAATCTTTATATTGTTTGGCTACAACTGCATCCTGTGGATCATCAGGTTCTGCTGCAGCTAATAAAGCTTGTAACGATAATAAAACTGTTCTTAATGTCATAGCAGCAGCCCTGCAAAAAATTAGATTCCTTCAGAATAAAACTTAGGGGTTTAAATCTTTAATAAAAGAAAATAAGAATATGTGTTCATAGAACACCTTGCCGGCTGTGGTTCCAACATAATCAAATCTGACCTACGACCTTGGGAGTTTAGCATGTGACCTTGCAACCAGATGTCTCATTTAAAAGGACTTGTGACCTTTTAAAACGTCCAAAACCAAGAATCAGTTCTGTATAGTTTGCTGAAAAATGTTGTGGTGACCTGAGGCAATTTTTAAACGTGACCTAATGACATGAAGGGGTACGCAACTGTGTAAAATTGAATAAAAAAATGCAATTTGGTATAAAATTTTTGAAGTTCACAAAATAAAGAACATCTGTACTAAATTTCAAGTTGATATGAAAACAACTCAATGGTAAACACACTTATCTGAAAACTTTAACCTGAGAATGTTATGGTTTTACACTATCACATTTCAATGTTCATTGAACCTTGAATTTGGGTCAAAAATGTACTTTGGGATATAATCTAAAAGTTCACATCATAATGGACATGTGATTGAGTTCAGAGTGACCACAACTTCATGGTAAACTACTTAACCAAAAACATTAACTTGATACAATCAGTCAAACGACGATATAATGGAAAAAGGCACAGAAAACATAATCACCTTTACATGTACATGTAAGTCAAACGCTTTTTGTATATTATCATAAAAGGACCACTCTTGGAGAAAGGTCTATTAATCACAAATACTTACCACTGATCTTTTAAAATATCTAAACAAATAGCTCCTGTGACTGAACTTATATTTGGGTGCCATATTCTTGTAGTAAATTTTACCTGTAAAAATAATATCATAACATAATTAAACTTAAGTTTAAAAAAGACTTTAGGTTGTTAGTTTTCTTGTTTGAATTGTTTTACATTTGTCATTTTGGGGCATTTTACAGCTTATTAAGCAGTATGGGTTTTGCTCATTGTTTATGGCTGCATGGTGTCTTATGGTTTTTAGCTTCTGTCATTTGGTCTCTGGTGGAGTGTTGTTTAATTGGAAATCATACCACATCTTCTTAATTTTATATTTAACAACAGCTCTGAATGAATTTACAAAGTAAATTTCTCAAATAATAAAATTTCAGGTACATGTACCAGTATTGTAACTTATGTTAACCAGTCGTCTAGTAAATTTATAAATTGGAAGAATCAAGAATCAAGATGAACATGTTTTACAATTTACCAATTGCAATTTTAAATAGTAAACATTTCAGCTTACCTTTGGAGGATTAAATGGATATGTTTCTGGTATTTTTATTTCTAGTTTAAATGTTCCCCCAGCATAAGGTGTATCGGGAGGTCCTGCTATCGTCCCTTCTAACTCATTATACATATCATTTTTGAGTGCTACTTTTATTTTACACCGCTCCACCTGGATTGAAAAAGAAAAAAACATATTTGGTTATATCTGTAACTAAGAAGGTAAAATGATTTAAATCTACTAATTATCAATGTCCACCTGCACAGAAGTGTATGTGAAACTGAAAAAATAAAACAAATATGTGTCCATTGGACGCAGATGCCCACCGCTTGTAAATGTACAAAAAATTCAGCATCTTTAAGGGGACATACATGTAACTCAAGAACAGTGAAAGTGACCAACCAAATTTGAACTTGACCTGTGAAAACTGTTTGGTGGTAATTACAATTATGTGTAAGTTTCATAACATTTGATTGAGGCAAAGTAAAGTTAGAGTGCAGAAACAGTAAATTCAGCAATTTTCCATTTACAGGGACCACATCTTCTTATTTATACACTGTAACTCACAAATGGTGAAAGTGACGACAGCCAAATCATGCAAATTCGAACTGGATCTGTGTTTGGTGGTAATAGCATTTTGAATAAATTTCATAACATTTGGTTCAGGCAAAGTTAAGTTAGAGTGTGGAAACAGCAAATTGTGAAATTTTTGTATTAACTGCGGACATAACTCCAGAACAGTGAAAGTGATGCCACCCAAATTCTTGATCTGTGTTTGGTGGTAATAAGCATTGTGTTGAAGTTTCATATAATTTTGTTGAGGCAAAGTAAAGAAAGAGTGCAGAAACAGTAAATTCAGCAATTTTTATTTATGTAAAGCGACATAACTCGTGGACGATGAAAGTGATGCCATCCAAATTTGAGTTTATCTGTGTTTGGTGGTAATAACCATTGTGTATAAGTTTCATAACATTTGGTTCAGGCAAACTAAAGTTAGAGACTGGAAATTATTGTACATACAGATGGACGTAGTACATACAGACGTACTGATGGACAAGGGTAACATTACTACCCCTCTCTTGCCTACATGTATATATATAGTCGCAGGGGGCAAAGAAACATTAAATTCAGTAATTTTTCTTTATTCAAAGGGACATAACTTGTGGACTGTGAAAGTTAAGCCAATTAAATTCAAATTTGATCTGTATTTGGTGGTAAAAACCATTGTGTACGTACAAGTTTCATAACATTTGGTTATTGCAAACTAAAGTGAAGAGAATGGGGAAACTAATTTTTGGACATACAGATGGATGTAGTATGTACAAATGTCTGTACTGATGGACAAGGGTAAACATTACTGCCCCAGTTGCCTAGTGGCAGGGAAAAGAAACTTTCCACTTTAACAATAGAAATTTAATACTTGGATCTTTTTTAAATAAATCAAAATACTGCCATTTTTGTGACATGATATTGACTACAAAATAAAATATGTATCCAGGTTAGCAGACCCAGCGCGAACATGAATCAAGGTCACCACAGATCGATAAATGATAAGCCGACTTTGTATATTCGTTGTTTTCTACATGTAGGTATAAACTATTATGTTCTTAATTAAACTTTACTTTATAAACGAGGGGAATAAAGGCTACCATTGAAAATGACGTCATATATGAAATTCCTTACAATAGGACCAACATCGGATACGTTATCGTAATTCAGTTACTTTTTCACCAGATATTATGCTGGGAATTTTTTAACAACTAATGTTTATATATAATATAAATCTGCTGTTAATTAATAGGATATTCATGAGTATCTTAGGGTTTGATGACTTTGTCCGGTGTGGAGGAACCCAGGGTGCAAGCATGGAAGGGGGCTAACGTGAATGGGAGCAACATGGTTTTGGGCGAACGGACCCGTATTCTTTCATAGGCCTCATATTAGAGGGTCGTAATCGGGGTACCTTCATGACGAATAATGGTAAAGATTCTTGCCAAATGACGTTAATGGTAATTTTTGGTGCATGATGATAAAATGTACTTTCTTTAAGACAATAAAAAAATCAACTGATTTTGACGAATCACGTTAAATTTTTTCCAAAAATAACGGTAACGATGATTATTTGAGACCTCTGACGAATCATAAGGATATTTTGACGAATCACAGTAAATTTTAAACAATTTGATGCTAACGGTAGCGGAAAATGACCGTTTGACGCCTGACGGTAAAGGGCATTCCTACCCTCATATTAGGCACATGCATTATTGCAGATATTGACGACACAATTTTCCTATATATATTAGTTTCTACCAGTGGCGGATCCAGAGGGGGGCGTAGAGGGCGTATGCCCCCCCCCCCTTTACTTGAACTTTTTTTTTTTTTTTTTTGTAAAATGATTAATCAGACTAGACTTCGTGAACTTTGCCATTACCCGGCCGTGTATTTAATTTTTATGCGACTATTCTTTACTTATAAAGATATTTTTCGCTCGTATTTACTGTAATATATTATTGATTATGTCAAAGTCATGTGATTCGCTACGGTGGAGTTGATCAGTACGTCGAAAAAAACGTCACTCAGTCATTTTGAAATTCAAATTACAGTAACACATTGCTTACGGCGGAGGATGACAAGCATGACTCTTTCAAAGCGACACAGGATTGAACAAGAACCACGTATTGACTTCTATTTCACAATTCCACTCAACAGAAAGTAATACTCTATTACACTCTCATGAAAAAAAAATTCCACAGCAATATTATTTACCTTCGAAAATATGTTTAACCCCAGACGCCCCAGCCAATTAATAACATTGCTGAATAGTGATCCCTAGTCAGTAAGCTCTAGATAGATTAAAGTCTAAGGTACGGACCATTTGATTTTATAGGGCAGTCTGAGATATTTTAGTGAAACATTTTTGACCCTGATTTTTGCCTTAAACAAAAATTCTGGCCGTATCTGTATTGAAAACAATTCTCGTGTCCCCTTTTTTGCTATCAGAAAAAAAAATCCAATAGAATTATTCAGCATTAAATGAACATGGTGATTAAAAAAACGGGCGTAAATTTTTTTGGGGGTTTGCATGTAAATCCCATATCTGACCGAAATGTCTGTTTCGCCGAACTGATATACTGAATACTTTTTTCAAGGCCCAACTGCAACCTGCCTGCTGGGTGTGGCCTTTATGTCTCCATTTGTCGACCGTCATTCACAACTTCGTTGTCATTTGATTTTCAGACTCATTCGTAGCCTTTGGTTGATTTGGGATCCCTCACTTCCCTTGTTGGGTGAAACATTTCAACCAAACATTTGGATAAAAAATGCTTGTTTGTCTTTGTTCGTGTCGGTCGTATTATAAACTTCATTGAATAGCCGTATATCATCATACATGTTTACAAAAGAAATCTGTGAGGTTATGCTAACTAACCATACAACAAACGAGAATTTTCCATGTCCATTTTTTACTGACAAATCCCACATCAAATATATTAGTACATAGCTTTGGATCCATTCAATCATTTTATAATAGACAATTAGGGGCTAGCTGAAGGACACCTCCAGGTGCGGGAGTTTCTCGCTGCATTGAAGACCTATTGGTGGCCTTCGGCTGTTGTCTGCTCTATGGTCGGGTTGTTGTCTCTTTGACACACTCCCCATTTCCATTCTCAATTTTAATTAATGGGGAGAATGCGGCATCAAAAGTGTCCAACCCTAGCTTACACTTTAACTATAAAATATACATGCCCCACGTCAGGAACCGTTAAAAATGTGCATTTTACAGTTATTTTATGTTTTTTAGCCCCAAAAAGGTCTAAAAAAAATTTCGCCTCGCTCTGCTCGGCAAACTTTAAATACTACGCCCCCCCTTTCCAAAATCCTGGCTCCGCCCCTGTCTACTATCAATTTTATTAGTTAGTCAAGCATGAACTTTGACCTAGGGATAATAGTGATGCAAAAATATCATCAGATGATGGAATTAACAACTTTTTGCGACACTTGCAAAGCAAAACGTAATCCTTGCATTAAAATGAATATGTGTGCCAAGACGGCCAATTACTTGTACATGAAATATAAAATTCTAATTTTTATCGCTGTTTATTATAATTTGGACCCATCAATTAGGATATTTCACAATAAATAGGATATATTCCCCCACCTGTTTAAACTAATAAACATCTTTCATAATGTCTTTCAACTCTTTGTCACACAGGAAATGAATAGCCCAAGATGAAATCGGTATATATCTTGTTCTAGATTTGAAAACATAACATGACCAAGTTTGGCTTTTGGAGTTAGTGTGACAACGAAATAAATCTGCAGTTTAATATAGCCCTGAATATTTCTGCAGATAACATAGCAGTCTCAGTCTGTACCTCTTCACTTTTAACCACTTCTTTGAATTCTCTTTGTATTCGAGCAGCAGCAATATTAGCCATATTTACAAGACAAAATGTTACATATATTACAAGTAAGGGGCAAATAAATCAATAGAATGAAATTCTTAACGGGATGAGTAACACTTTCTATGTTTTTTTCAACAGTGCTTGTTCCGGAAGTGAGCACATGGAAAGTTGCGCATTGAATACAAAACTGAAATTTTTACTTTATACACGGAAATTTTTGCATTTAATATTTTTTACAACAGAATTAATAGGAATGATATATGATTCCACTTATGTTTCATTAAGGTTAACTATTTTTCTACGTTTCTTTAAAATATATGGGTCACATAAGGTCAAATTAAGGGGTCAAGTTGTCCAAATCAAGTTCACGTTTTACAGTAACGCCCGTAACCAGGTAACAGTCAAGCACAGAAACGATAATACTCACATGCATAGTGAGGCCGAACGTGTTTAATGTTGGGTATTCGTAAACAAATTTCTGAATCAAAAAGCTTGAAAGACTTCGGTAGAATGCCTAACATTAAGGTTTTTAGTGGAAGTTCTCATGTTGATCTTGCACAGAAAATATGCGATCGTCTTGGAATAGAACAAGGCAAAGTTGTTACCAAGAAATTCAGCAACGGAGAATGCAGGTGATCATGAGTGATTTTATGTTGAAGCCATGGGGCACTGCCGCTGGCAGAGTCTTTTGATCTGAATAGTGACATTAATTGAAAATTATGTTTTCATGTTGATACTTCTGATATGAGACAGGTGCAACATAATGAGCTCTGAAACTATTGGATTTTGCATGTTTTATACTTGGCATAATCCGCATTATATAACTATGTGGCCTAGTCATGCTAGTGGCTTAGGCATCAGGTCGTTCCGTCCCCAAGTCAATCATTCCCAAGTTGTTTTGTCCCATGTTGATCCAGCCCGATATATAATACACCTTATCGCTATTTGTCCGCCATTACTGAACATCACGAAAGTTCCTGTAAAATTTTGATGTCACAATAGAAAATATCTGACGCCACAATGGAAAAGTGATTGTTGTATGACGTCAATGGTTCAAGAGGCGCAGATTCTTGGGTCAAGCGGTGCAGATTTCAAAATACATTAATGTAGCGATAAGGTCTATGAAATAATGAATAAATCGGAGGAATTGGTGACATATTTGATTCAGGGTAAATGGAAATTGCACAAAGTATGCATAATATTGAAGTAACATTCTGATGATTTTTATTGTCGAGCCTGCGACTTTTGTCGCAGAAAGCTCGACATAGGGATAGTGATCCGGCGGCGGTGGCGGCGTTAGCTAACTTCTTAAAAGCTTTATATTTTAGAAGGTGGAAGGTCTGGATGCTTCATACTTTGTATATGGATGCCTCATGTTACGAAGTTTCCGTCAGTCACATGTCCAATGTCCTTGACCTCATTTTCATGGTTCAGTGACTACTTGAAAAAAAAGTTCAGATTTTTTGTAATGTTAGATTCTCTCTTATTATAAGTAATAGGATAACTATATTTGGTATGTGCGTACCTTGCAAGGTCCTCATGCCCGTCAGACAGTTTTCACTTGACCTCGACCTCATTTCATGGATCAGTGAACAAGGTTAAGTTTTGGTGGTCAAGTCCATATCTCAGATACTATAAGTAATAGGTCTAGTATATTCGGTGTATGGAAGGACTGTAAGGTGTACATGTCCAACTGGCAGGTGTCATCTGACCTTGACCTCATTTTCATGGTTCAGTGGTTATAGTTAAGTTTTTGTGTTTTGGTCTGTTTTTCTTATACTGTATGCCATAGGTCTACTATATTTGGTGTATGGAATGATTGTAAGGTTTACATGTCTAGCGGGCAGGTGTCATTTGACCTTGACCTCATTTTCATGGTTCAGTGGTCAAAGTTAAGTTTTTGAGTTTTGGTCTTTTTTTCTAATACTATGTGCAATAGTTCAACTATATTTGGTATGTGCGTACCTTGCAAGGTCCTCATGCCCGTCAGACAGTTTTCACTTGACCTCGACCTCATTTCATGGATCAATGAACAAGGTTAAGTTTTGGTGGTCAAGTCCATATCTCAGATACTATAAGCAATAGGTCTAGTATATTCGGTGTATGGAAGGACTGTAAGGTGTACATGTCCAACTGGCAGGTGTCATCTGACCTTGACCTCATTTTCATGGTTCAGTGGTTATAGTTAAGTTTTTGTGTTTTTGTCTGTTTTTCTTATACTGTATGCCATAGGTCTACTATATTTGGTGTATGGAATGATTGTAAGGTGTACATGTCTAGTGGGCATGTGTCATCTGACCTTGACCTCATTTTCATGGTTCAGTGGTCAAAGTTAAGTTTTTGAGTTTTGGTCTTTTTTTCTAATACTATGTGCAATAGTTCAACTATATTTGGTATGTGCGTACCTTGCAAGGTCCTCATGCCCGTCAGACAGTTTTCACTTGACCTCGACCTCATTTCATGGATCAATGAACAAGGTTAAGTTTTGGTGGTCAAGTCCATATCTCAGATACTATAAGCAATAGGTCTAGTATATTCGGTGTATGGAAGGACTGTAAGGTGTACATGTCCAACTGGCAGGTGTCATCTGACCTTGACCTCATTTTCATGGTTCAGTGGTTATAGTTAAGTTTTTGTGTTTTGGTCTGTTTTTCTTATACTATATGCAATAGTTCAACTATATTTGGTGTATGGAAATATTTTATGATCTATTTGGCAGTCACGCAGGTTTTATTTGACCTTGACCTCATTTTCAAGGTTCATTGCTCAGTGTTAAGTTTTTGTGTTTTGGTCTGTTTTTCTTAAACTATAAGCAATAGGTCAACTCTATTTGTTGTATGGAAGAATTGTTAGCTGTACATGCCTGCCTAGCATGGTTCATCTGACCTTGACCTCATTTTCATGGTTCATTGGTCAATGTTTAGTTTACTTGGTTAATGTTAAGTTTATGTGACAGTTGTAATAAAGCTTTATATTTAGGACTATCAACATAATATCAATGATTAGTAAAGAAGGCGAGACATTTCAGTGGGTGCACTCTTGTTTTAAAATCTATACGAAAAGGAGAATGATTGGTTTTGTTTGTAAAGCAGCATCTGCATGTAAATAGAATTACATGTATGAAGTTTTTTCCATGATAACTTGGAATATAATGGAAACAAATTCTTTTTATTTATTTCACACATTGAAGAGATAAATAGATATTTACAAACATGTATGCAATCATCATAATGACTTGTGTAAATCAAATCAATGTCTATAATTGGTTTGTTTATTCAATAATTGTCTGAGGATTATAAACCAAAGTAACACCATTCGTAATCACTTAAATCAATCAAAATCATGATTCATAAAATTTATAGAAACATTATCAACATAATTGTTTATACTGCGTAATCATAATTATGTGATAAACTGGCATGATTGATTTGAATTCAAATATTTCATCATATCAAAATAATATTATATTTCTATATGAAATCTTAATATAAATATTTGACAAAAAAAATATTCCAATAAATGTCTCATCTTATGAAAATTGTATATTTAAATAATCGTTGAGGGCACACTTTTTTACCGTCCACCTTTTATATTATAATAAAATCCATAAAAGTTATGTATTACAATTCATTTATATATTTATATATTTTCATCCCTTATAAATATTTTTTAAATTGGGGCCAGATCTACTTGGGACGGTTTGACTTGGGAACAGATCAACATGAAAGCGTGACTTGGACCTGTGGCTACCATGCTTACAGGGAAAAAAACTTGTGGGTGACCAATTCAAGGTTGTCAAAAAACCTGTCAATACCAGTATATTGACAAGGCCTGTGGTAAATACCTGCTAAAACTGGTCAATACAAATTTGATAAGACAACAGTTAGCTTTTTTAAGTGGGCCAGGAGGATTTTGCAAATGAATATTCACGTCGGTTTGAGCTGAAAATAAATAACAAAGCATTGGATAAGATGGAAATAAATATTTTGCACTACAAAATGCAGGAAACAGTTGTGTACAAAAGTGAAAGTCAAAGCCACAGAAAAAAGCAAAAAACTGTGTAGGAACAGATTAAAATGAAATCAGTTGAGAAGCCTATTTTTATGCCCCGCCGTAGCGGTGGGGGCATTAAGTTTTACCCTTGTCCGTCTGTACGTCCCAAAGTTGGTTTCCGTTCTCTAACTTGAGTTTGCCTCAACCAAATGTTATGAAACTTATACACAATGCTTATTACCACAAAACACAGATCAAGACTGAATTTTGGTGGCGTCACTTTAACCGTTCTAGAGTTATGTCCCTTTATAAATGGAAAAATTACAAAATTTTTAGTTTCCGTTCTCTAACTTAAGTTTGCCTCAACCAAATGTTATGAAACTTATACACAATGCTTATTACCACAAAAAACAGATCAAGTTTGAATTTTGGTTGCGCCACTTTAACCGTTCGAGAGTTATGTCCCTTTATAAATGGAAAAATTGCAAAATGTTTAGTTTCTGTTCTCTTAGTCAGGGGTACTACTTGTACAAGTAATCTTTATTTACTTGAAGAAGTAAATAAAATATACTTATACAAGTTAATTATATTGTTAGAATAATCTCCCCTTAATTTTCTAAAAAATTTACTTGTATAAGTAAATTTTTTTTACAATCCCACAAAAATTTTCAAGTTTTGAGATGTAAAATCATGCCTTTAACAATTTTTCTCAGGTTAGCTCATAATTTTTGATAAGAGTTCAATGTTTCATCTCATTAATTCAACAAAGAAACTGATTGAGCAAAGATCTTAAGTATTTGCGCAAGGCCTTCAAAAATTGCTCCTTGGGGGCTTGTAAATGAGCAGTGTTCTAAAGATAACAGACAAATGAGATTTTCATTGTCCATGAAATTACACTTAAATGAATAGTAAAGCCATCTGCAAAGGACAGACAATTCAAAATTCTGTTAGAGCAAAGAAGTTCTAAGAATTCAAGAAAAGAAGATAGGATGACTTTTTTACTAGTATAAGTAAAAAAATCTGAATGTCTAAGGGACATAACTAGGCCAAAAAATAATTTACTTATACAAGTAAATAAAATACACTTGTATAAGTATCCTTCAAATTTACTTATATAAGTATATTATAATTACTTCTTCAAGTAAATAAAAATTACTTGTTCAAGTAGTACCCCTGACTGTATTACTTAAGTTTGCCTCAACCAAATGTTATGAAACTTATACACAATGCTCATTACCACAAAACACAGATCGAGTTTGAATTTTGGTGGCGTCACATTAACCGTTCTAGAGTTATGCCCTTTTAAAAATGGAAAAATTGCAAAATTTTTATTTTCTTCTTAATATCAAGTAATTCTTAAAATTGGAGTTATCTTCCTTTGTCCATGATTATAGTTGAATCAACTACAATCAATGCTTTATACAATGCATTGTTTAATTTTGACTTCCACTGATAAAACACAGATCAAGTTGAATTTGGGTAGTGTCACTTTAACCATTATTGAGTTATGCCCCTTTATGAATCGAAAGATTGCAAAATTTGTAGTTTCCATTTTGTAACTTAAGTTTGCCCCAACCAAACATTATGAAACCTATACACAATATTCATTACCACAAAATTATGATCAAGTACAAATTTTTTGTTTCTGTTTTCTAACTTTAGTTTGCCTCAACCAAATGTTATGAAACTTATACACAATGCTTATTACTACATAATACAGATTAAGTACAAAATTTGGTGGCAACACTTTTACCATTCTTGAGTTATGTCCCTTTATAAACATAGAAATTGCTGAATTTTTTAGTTTGTCTCAACCAAATGTTATAAAACTTATACACATCCGTTTTAGAGTTATGCGTGTTTACAAATAGAAAAATTGCTAAATTTCTAGTTCCTGTTCTCTACTTAAGTTAGCCTCAACCAAATGTTATGAGACTTACACACAATGCTTATTACCACAAAACTCAGATCAAGTTCAAATTTGGGTAGCGTCACTTTTACCGTTCTTCAGTTATGTCCCTTTATAACTATATGATATGCAAGCAGGGGCATCATCTGTGTCCACATGTGGACACTATCCACATTTATTTTTTATCCTTCTTTCTTGGAGACGCAGTATTTATTTTGTTTTTTTTTTTCTGTGTCGAGTTTAGAGAATCTGTCTGTTGAGAAGTTGTATTTATTTTATCCTTTTTTCTAGCATATCATTGAGATTGGAGAATCTGTTCATGGAGAAGCAGTATTTATTTTATCCTTTTTTCCAGTGTTTAGATTGGTGAATCTGTCTTTTGAGAAGCAGTATTAATTTAATCCTTTTTAGCTCACCTTGCCTAAAAGGCCAAGTGAGCTTTTCTCATCACTTTGAGTCCAATGTCGTTAACTTTTACAAAAATCTTCTCCTTTGAAACTTCTGGGCCAAATTTAACCAAACTTGGCCACAATCATAATTATGGTATCAAGTTTGAAAATTGTGTCTGATGACCTCGTCTGCCAACCAACATGGCCGACATGGCTAAAAATAGAACAGGGGTAAAATGCAAGTTTGGTCTATTATCTTGAAAACCAATATGAATGGAGAAAATCTGTCTGAGGCAAAAATTTTCGGAATTAGGAGATCTACATATTGTCTATTTACTTCAATCTGTCAGATGATTTCTGATAGGAGTTATTGCCCTAAGATGACGAATTTTACCAATTTTTTTCATGTATGACTAATATCTGAAAAACTATAATAAGATATGCCCTTTAATGATGATTATTATTAATTTTTTGCGTTTTTGCCTAATATCTGAAAACACTACAATACATATAGATGCATGTGTAGATAGAAAATTAAATCACCAAAATTGATCAGCAAGACTTGATCTACAAATAAGTCAAATAGCCAAAATCATCAGTCGACCTCTTGTAGGAGGACTTGCTCTTTAATGACGATTTTTTGTCGAGCCTGCGACTTTTGTCGCAGAAAGCTCGACATAGGGATAGTGATCCGGCGGCGGCGGCGTTAGCTAACTTCTTAAAAGCTTTATATTTTAGAAGGTGGAAGGTCTGGATGCTTCATACTTTGTATATGGATGCCTCATGTTACGAAGTTTCCGTCAGTCACATGTCCAATGTCCTTGACCTCATTTTCATGGTTCAGTGACTACTTGAAAAAAAAGTTCAGATTTTTTGTAATGTTAGATTCTCTCTTATTATAAGTAATAGGATAACTATATTTGGTATGTGCGTACCTTGCAAGGTCCTCATGCCCGTCAGACAGTTTTCACTTGACCTCGACCTCATTTCATGGATCAGTGAACAAGGTTAAGTTTTGGTGGTCAAGTCCATATCTCAGATACTATAAGCAATAGGTCTAGTATATTCGGTGTATGGAAGGACTAAGGTGTACATGTCCAACTGGCAGGTGTCATCTGACCTTGACCTCATTTTCATGGTTCAGTGGTTATAGTTAAGTTTTTGTGTTTTGGTCTGTTTTTCTTATACTGTATGCCATAGGTCTACTGTATTTGGTGTATGGAATGATTGTAAGGTGTACATGTCTAGCGGGCAGGTGTCATCTGACCTTGTCCTCATTTTCATGGTTCAGTGGTCAAAGTTAAGTTTTTGAGTTTTGGTCTTTTTTTCTAATACTATGTGCAATAGTTCAACTATATTTGGTATGTGCGTACCTTGCAAGGTCCTCATGCCCGTCAGACAGTTTTCACTTGACCTCGACCTCATTTCATGGATCAGTGAACAAGGTTAAGTTTTGGTGGTCAAGTCCATATCTCAGATACTATAAGCAATAGGTCTAGTATATTCGGTGTATGGAAGGACTGTAAGGTGTACATGTCCAACTGGCAGGTGTCATCTGACCTTGACCTCATTTTCATGGTTCAGTGGTTATAGTTAAGTTTTTGTGTTTTGGTCTGTTTTTCTTAAACTATAAGCAATAGGTCAACTATATTTGTTGTATGGAAGAATTGTTAGCTGTACATGCCTGCCTAGCATGGTTCATCTGACCTTGACCTCATTTTCATGGTTCATTGGTCAATGTTTAGTTTACTTGGTTAATGTTAAGTTTATGTGACAGTTGTAATAAAGCTTTATATTTAGGACTATCAACATAATATCAATGATTAGTAAAGAAGGCGAGACATTTCAGCGTGTGCACTCTTGTATCAATATTTTACTCTTTTGACTACTATCTTAAAAACTATAAAAGATAGATAAACACTTTTTGAAAATAGCAAAAACGATCAGCAAGACAAGATCTACGAATCAGTAAACAAATTTGCCGAATTATTGGTTTACTCTTAACCATGTTAACAGGAATGATTGCCTCAATTGATTTTTTTTTTTTTACCTTTTTTGTGTTTGGGGTAAAATCTAAAGAAAATAGAGAGAAACTGCAAACAGAAATAATCATCAGCAATACAAGATCAACACAAAAAAAAGATTTTGTCATGAATTATATTCTAATCCACAATGTATGAGAAGGTCCATTGTTGAAGATGCTCATAGACCTAGGTGAGGGACACAGGCTCTTTAGAGCCTCTAGTTTTCCAGTGTTGAGATTTGAGAATCTGTCTGTTGAGAAGTTGTATTTATTTTATCCTTTTTTCTAAGTGTTGAGATTAGAGAATATGTCTTTTGTGAAGCAGTATTAATTTAATGCTTTTTTCTCTATTGTTGAGATTAGAGAATTTGTCTGTTGGGAAGCTGTATTTACTTTATCCTTTTTGTTTCAAGTGTTGAGATTAGAAAATGTCTGTCAAGAAGCCATATTTAATTTATTTTTTTCAGTGTTTAGATAGGAGAATCTGTCTGTTCAGAAACAGTATTTATTTTACCCTTTTTTTCCACAGTGTAACTGTTGAGATTTAAAAATCTGTCCATGGTGTAGCAGTATTTATTTTTCCTTTTTTTTCAGTGTTGAGATCGGAGAATCTGTCCGTGGAGAAGATGTGTACATTGTACAGAGTGGTTGTGACGAGGTGAATGATATGTTGATGGAATTGTTGATCATGATAAATGCCTGTAAGATAGCATCTGCATGTCGTGTCACAGCTCTCATTCCATGTTTCCCATACGCAAGACAGGATAAAAAAGATAAAGTATGAATTTTAAATTCAGTGTTAATTTTTATACGACCGCAAAAACATTTTGTGGTCGTATATTGGTATGACATTGGCGTCGTCGTCATCGTCCGAAGACACATTGGTTTTCGCACTCTAACTTTAGTTTAAGTGGATGGATCTCTATGAAATTTTACCGTAAAGTTCAATACCACAAAAGGAAGGTTGGGATTGATTTTGGGGGTTATGGTACCAACAGTTTAGGAATTAGGGGCCAAAAATAAGCATTTTTGTAACTTCCAGACATAACTTGTGTGTTAGAGTATGGATCTCTCTGACATTGTACCACAAGGTTCCATATCACAAAGGGAATGCTGGGATTGATTTTGGGGGTAATTGCCTTAAAGTTTTAGGAATTAGGGGCCAAAAAGGGGCAAAAAACAAGCATTTTTCTAGTTTCATGACAATAACTTGTGTGTAAGTGTATGGATCTTTCTGAAATTGTACTACAAGGTTCCATATCACGAAGGGAAAGCTGGAATTGAGTTTGGGGGTAATTGCCTTAAAGTTTTAGGAATTAGCTATGGGGGCCAAAAAAGGGGTAAAAAACAAGCATTTTTCTAGTTTCATGACAATAACTTGTGTGTAAGTATATGGATCTTTCTGAAATTGTACTACAAGGTTCCATATCACAAAGGGAAAGCTGGAATTGAGTTGGGGGTAATTGCCCAAAACGTTTAGGAATTAGGGGCCAAAAATAAGCATTTTTCTAGTTTCCAGACAATAACTTGTGTTCAAGTGTATGGATCTCTCTTACATTGTACTGCAAGGTACCATACCACAAAGGGAAGGCTGGGGTTGATTTTGGGGGTAATTGCATCAAAATTTTAGGAATTAGAGGCCAAAAAGGGGCAAAAAACAAGCATTTTTCTAGTTTCAGGACAATAACTTGTGTGTAAGTGTATGGATCTTTATGAAATTGTACTACAAAGTACTATGTCACAAAGGGAAAGCTGGGTTTGAGTTTGGGGGTAATTGCCCTAAACATTTAGGAATTTGGGGCCAAAAAGGGGCCAAAAAACAAGCATTTTTCTAGTTTCCAGACAATAACTTGTGTTCAAGTGTATGGATCTCTCTGAAATTGTACTGCAAGGTACCATACCACAAAGGGAAGGCTGGGATTGAGTTTGGGGGTGATGAATCATAAGGGGGTTCAAAAAATTTAGGGGGGGATTTTTTTTCCCCTTTTTTTCCTTTTTTTTTCTTTAAAATTTTCCATTTTAAATTGGTTATTTCTGATTTATATATAAAAGCAAATAATAATGATATGGTTTGAATAGGTAAATTAAAATTTTTTAAGTCCTTAGACCACATTCATTCTGTGTCAGAAACCTATGCTGTATCAAATATTTAATCACAATCCAAATTCAGAGCTGTATCAAGCTTGAATGTTGTGTCCATACTTGCCCCAACTGTTCAGGGTTTGACCTCTGCGGTCGTATCAAGCTGCGCCTAGTGGAGCATTTTATTACTTCTGAAAAGTTTAATTCAAATGGAAGGAATAAATCAGTTTTTCATTACTATAAGTTCTGAACATACAGTGTATTTATTTGGGCCTGGGTGCCTGAGTTGTCTAAGTACCGGTAGTATATCTACTGTGCTTACTAGCTTCAGCCTGTCAACACTTAGATCTGCTGTGTGGAAATGTGCTTTAGACTTAAAAAACTTTTGTCTAAAATGATTGACCTTTTTCCTGCCCAATGGTCAGTGGTTCTCTATGGGTACCAGGGTTCTAGCTAAGGCAAGTCCATGAGTCCTGGACTCATCAAAATTTGCCTGGACTCATCATTTTCAAAACTGGTGAGTCCAAAGATGCATCAAGATTGAAAAATGTTGTATCAACTAAGCACACTTATCTTAATTATATAGCAAAAGTTATAAAGTAATCTAAATTTAATGTCATTTCCTTGCTCTATTTTGTCATGGAGACTGAATTAATAAATTATATTGCAATCAAATTTCTTCTTCTGACTGTTGGGACTCGCCATGGCCAAAAATGACAAGTCCTTGGACTTGCCTGCCAAAAATCCTTAGTGAGATACCTGGGTACTCAGGTTTTCTTTACTAATATAAACCGGCTGCCATGGAATAGTGAAGAGTGATGAAAGTGGTGTCAACAGTAACAATCAATCATATTTATTCATTCTGGGAAAGTAGAAGATTATCCTTGTAGTAGTATTTCCATTGAATGGAATACTTAAATGAATTATTTCCTGGCATTCTATGAACATCGTTCAAAAAGTCTAATAAAGTGACAAAATTTTTTAAATGACTTTGATAAATGGTTGAAAATTTTAACATTCTAACCACATACTTGTTTTGTGATGAGATTACCATTTTAGATGACCCATTCGTGAAGTGATATTTTACTTTCCAGTTTGACCATTGAAAAAGGATAATCATCCCAATCGGATTAGGAGACAGTTGAAAGATTGATTTGAAGTGGGTCTCATTGAGTTGTAAGTGTGATGCGGGATTGACAGATTTTTTGTAAGCGTGACACATGAAAAGTCAAATTATTTTGCGTGAAAAAGGGAAACGAAGTTGGGCGGGACATGTGAAATTACAAGCGCAATTATTACAATGCTAAACGGGATACAGGATTCTGACAAAACAATAAGAGGGATCCGGGATCAGACCCCCCCCCCCCCCCCCCCCCCCCCCCCCGAATGAGACCCCCTTTGAAATGTGAAAGATCTTTATTTTATCATTATAAGGATGAAGGATGGTAGCAAAATTTAAAAAAAAATGGTAGTCATGGAAATGGGAAACTCATTCAAAGACTATGTTAAGTTATAAAGGTTTTTTCTCCCAAAGTTAAAGTGAACGAAATAATATATCACTTACCTGTACTTCATTATGAATTGAGAAGACAAATATTATCTAGTGGACAGTTTTTATGTACCTGCTACATTAAATGGTCAGTTTTGTTAACGAATATTTGTGTCACCTAACAGAAGTTCCTCTGGAAATTTTGTTATAGACAATGCTATAATATCTTGTTATGTTGGAACAAGTATTCTATATTAAATACTGAATTATTTGTTCCAGTGGAAATAACATTACAGAATATTTCTTCCACTTGGAACTTATATTATGAAGCAATTTCATGACAAGTTTTACAGATATTTATAATAATTTGATAATAACATGAAAAAAAGTCATGTATAACTAGTACAATATAGTAATTTGTGAAACTGAAACATTAAGAAATAATGCTGTACTAATAAATAATTATAAAAATATATTAAGGTTTTTTCCATCACTATAGTAGTCCTGTTATGGAGGCCCCATTCAGCAAAAGTTTGGTCACAATGGCCTGTACCTGTATTTCTGATTTTTTGGTAAAATGCCTGTTGTTAAGTTTAACATTTAGATCCATTTCCCAGGAGCATCTTGTAGCTCAATGATATTTCAACATGTAGTCTTTTTGTTTTGTACAACACTGTTTAACAACATTTGGTTTACTGTGATCACCAAGTGTTTAAAGGCTGTGTCTGTGTCTAAGAGACACTATACTTAGACATTGTATGGTATATGGTATAATTACTGTTGAGACAATTTCACATGAATCCTTGTTATTGGTTTGTATTTGGGTGTATCGGTGTTCCCACTGTCTGTATCTATCTGCTCAGCTCTTCATAAAATTGCATATCATGGCTTTGTGACATCAAATGCGTTAACTCAGCCTAAATAACTTTGACCTGGACATATATAATCCGATAAATTGATCATCAGATTTTCATCATTTTTATATTGTAAAATATCAATATGCAGATAACCTGATAACTGGTACATATATATACTCCTAATCTCAAATATAATATGGAATGGTATTACAACCTTTAATGCTGAAAAATACATAGAATAGTATTAACACCGACAAAAAAGCCATGAAAAAGTGCGGGAGTTTCTTGCTGCATTGAAGACCCATTGGTGGCCTTCGGCTGTTGTCTATTCTATGGTCGGGTTGTTGTCTCTATGACACATTCCCCATTTCCATTCTCAATTTTATGATGAAAAAAATTTGAAACTACAAAAAAGTTACTCATGCTATGATATTAACTTTCATTGTGTATGCATTTATCCTTGTATTTCAGAGCAGAGCTCCTATATCTGCCAAGTTGGTAGCCAATATGTTGTCAGTAGCAGGTGCAGATCACATCATCACTATGGACTTACATGCTTCTCAGATTCAGGTTGGACACATTTTTTGTAACATTTATTGGTGATTGCTTATGGCAAATATGAAAAGAGGGACTATGTTTAAGGGGTCATTATGACATGTGGGTGTATTTGTTTATAAGATTATTTTTATACGACCGCAAAAAATTTGCGTTCGTATAATGCTATCATGTCATCGTTGTCGCCGTCGTTGTCCGAAGACACATTTGGTTTCCGGACAATAACTTTAGTTTAATTGAATGGATCTCTAAGAAATTTTACCAGAAGGTTCAATACTACTAAAGGAAGGTTGGGTTTGATTTTTGGGGTGATGGTACCAACAGTTTAGGAATTAGTCTCTGAAATTGTACATTTTTCCTGAAGAGAAAATAATCTTCAAAATTTCAAAAAAAAATTGAGGGGGGTTTCAAAAAGTTTGGGTGAGGATTTTTTTTTATGCCCCCGCCATAGCGGGGGGGCATTAAGTTTTACCCTTGTCCGTCTGTACGTGCGTATGTACGTCCCAAAATTGGTTTCCGTTCTCTAACTTGAGTTTGCCTCAACCAAATGTTAGGAAACTTATACACAATGCTTATTACCACAAAACACAGATCAAGTTTGAATTTTGGTAGCGTCACTTTAACCGTTCTAGAGTTATGCCCCTTTATAAATGGAAAAATTGCAAAATTTTTAGTTTCCTTTCTCTAACAAGTTTGCCTCAACCAAATGTTATGTAACTTATACACAATGCTTAGTACCACAAAACACAGATCAAGTTTGAATTGTGGTGGCGTCACTTTAACCATTATTGAGTTATGCCCCTTTATAAATCGAAAGATTGCAAAAATTTTTAGTTTCCATTCTGTAACTTAAGTTTGCCCTAACCAAACATTATGAAGCCTATACACAATATTCAATTCAACAAAACTAAGATCAAGTACAAATTTTTTGTTTCCGTTTTCTAACTTTAGATTGCCTCAACCAAATGTTATGAAACTTATACACAATGCTTATTACTACATAATACAGATTAAGTACGAAATTTGGTGGCGACACTTTTACCATTCTTGAGTTATGTCCCTTTATAAACATAAAAATTGCTGAATTTTTCGTTTCCGTTCTCTAACTTTATTTAGTTTGTCTCAACCAAATGTATTAAAACTTATACACAACCGTTCTAGAGTTATGCGTGTTTACAAATAGAAATATTTCTGAATTTTTAGTTTCTTTTTCTCTACTTAAGTTAGCCTCAACCAAATGTTACGAGACTTACACACAATGCTTATTACCACAAAACTCAGATCAAGTTCAAATTTGGGTAGCGTCACTTTTACCTTTCTTCAGTTATGTCTCTTTATAACTATATGATATGCAAGCGGGGGCATCATCTGTGTCCACATTTATTTTTTCAAATTTTTTTTGGGGGTTCATATTTTTTTCTTCAAAATTTATGAAATTTAAATTTTTTTCATTTATTTTCGCTCTGCCAAGCATTTTATTAAAATAATAAAAAAAAGTACAGAACAGAACTTTTAAATTATCTGTAGATATGGTGAAATATAGTGCATATCAAACTCCAGTACTTTCTTCTCTTGAAAAGATGTGAAATTTTTATGCCCTTGCCGCAAGGGGAAGGGGGCATTAAGTGTTACCCTTGACCTTCTGTCTTTCTGTCAATCCTATTTTCGTTTGAAAAGCAAGCTTGAGAGGGGGCATTCGTGTCGTCAGACGCATTCTTCTTTTATTTTACTTGTTTTATCATTTTCTTTACAGGGTTTCTTTGACATTCCAGTTGACAATTTATATGCAGAGCCAGCTGTCATTAAATGGATTAAAGAAAATATTCAAGATTGGAGAAACAGTTGTATAGTTTCCCCTGATGCTGGAGGTGCAAAAAGGTAGGATTTGGGGAAATAGCATCATATATATATCAACTATTGTATATGATAAACTGCCAGTACTGCATTTAATAGCACAAACAAGAACTTTTAATGCATTCCAGTTTTTTTTGTTATATGAATAGCATTATAAGGGATGATGAAAAAGTTACCCCACCTGCTGCTGTTGTTTTAAGCTGCTTTTTCAATAAAATGACTCTAGTAAAGAACACTGAACCATTACACATTTTCTTCAAATTATTGAATGATCACAAAAATTAAAATAATAAATTGGCTGAATGCTATATTCATCAGTCTCTGTCGCTTGTGTTTGTAATTGATTTTTTTACGAATAATTTAGAAGCCATTTATTTTTACAGGGTAACTTCTATGGCAGATCGTCTCAATGTTGACTTTGCTTTGATTCACAAAGAACGTAAAAGAGCCAATGAGGTGGCATCAATGGTGCTCGTTGGTGATGTGAAGGACCAAGTAGCTATTTTGTTGGATGATATGGCTGATACTTGTGGTACATTCTGTCATGCTGCTGAAAAGTAGGTTGTAAGATAATTACTATAGGACATTTATTTATAGTGCAAAATATAATGTCTTTGAAAAAACTAACAAACAAAAAAACTACATTTAGAAACTGGGAATAGGGATGAGCATGCATTTGGAATAGGACTTGCAGAGAAAAACTTTTCCATGAAAAATGATCTTTGAAAAATTTCAAAAATTCCCAATAAAAAACTGCTACAAATGGTTTGATCCTTGTGTAAAAATTTATGTTTCAGCATCTAATTTTATACAAAATTAAATTAAAAGACACCAAGATGTGTACTTTTTGTAAACTTGGTGAAGAAACCATCGAACACCTTTTTTTTGAATGCCCAATAACTTTTCAATTGTGGCAGTCTTTTTCAAATGCAGTAAAACTTTTTTTTGTAAACTTTGTTCTTAACAAAGAGAATGTGTTTCTTGGTTGCAAACATGAAAGTTTATTACTGAATCTGTTAGTCATAATTACAAAAAACTATATATACAAATGTAAATTAAATGAAACAAAACCAAATATGGTTGGGTTAAAGAATAGAATAAAGTTTGCCTCAACCAAATGTTATGAAACTTATACCCAATGCTTAATTACAACAAAACACAGATCAAGTTCGAATTTTGGAGGTGTCACTTGTACCGTTCTAGAGTTATGCCCCTTTACAAATGGAAAAATTGCTGAATTTTTCGTTTCTGATCTCTAACTTAAGTTTGCCTCAACTAAATGTTATGAAACGTATACACAATGCTTACTACCACAAAACTCAGATCAAGTACAACTGTGGGTAGCGTCACTTTTACAGTTCTTGAGTTTTGTCCCTTTATAACGTTATTTGCAAGCGTGGGCATCTTCTGTGTCCCTTGGACACATTCCCCATTCATTAAGGTTCCCAAACGAAGTTTGGGAAGACTTATTCTTCTTCTTCTTCTTCTTCCGCCGCTTTTAAATTTGAACTTGTCCGCACCCGTTCTCCAAAACCGCTTGTCAGATTAACTTAGGGTTTCACAATATGTTAGACTAACATGTCTAGTGGTGCAATCAGGGTTTTGTTTGTGCAATGGGGTTTATAACGGGGTACTTTGAGGGGCAAAAAGAAAAGAGGGTTTTACTATAGAACCCTATGGGATTTTATTTTTTTAAATTTTCAAATGATTATAAATTGAAAACCATTTGTGATAGACACAATCTTTTTAATTGAAAATGAAAACCATTTGTGATAGACACAATCTTTTTAATTGAAAATGTTCTAAATGATAAAGCCCATTAAATGAAATACAGGGTTAGTCCCCAGGGGTCACCCCCACCCCCTGCCATTTAAGAAAGTTCTAATACCTTGTAAGTGGTCAAGATCCCCACCCCTAAACCATATATATTTTGGTTTGTCATGCTAAGATGGTTTTAATGATATACAGGGTTAGTCCTCAGGGGTCATCCTGACCCCCTGCCATTTGAGAAAGTTCTAATATCTTGTAAATGGTCGAGATCCCCACCCCTAAACCATATATATTCTGGTTTGTCATGATAAAGCACATCAAATGAAATACAGGGTTAGTCCCCAGGGGTCACCCCCACCCCCTGCCATTTAAGAAAGTTCTAATACCTTGTAAGTGGTCAAGATCCCCACCTTTAAACCATATATATTTTGGTTTGTCATGCTAAGATGGTTTGAATGATATACAGGGTTAGTCACCAGGGGTCATCCTGACCCCTTGCCATTTGAGAAAGTTCTAATATTTTGTAAATGGTTGAGATTCCCACCCCTAAACCATATATATTCTGGTTTGTCATGATAAAGCACATCAAATGAAATACAGGGTTAGTCCCCAGGGGTCACCCCCACCCCTTGCCATTTAAGAAAGTTCTAATATCTTGTAAGTGGTCAAGATCCCAACCCCTAAACCATATATATTTTGGTTTGTCATGCGAAGATGGTTTGAATGATATACAGGGTTAGTCCCCAGGGGTCATCCTGACCCCCTGCCATTTGAGAAAGTTCTAATATCTTGTAAATGGTTGAGATCCCCACCCCTAAACCATATATATTCCTATTTGTCATGTCTCGAACATTTGAATGACGTATAGGGTCAGTCCCCAGGGGTTCCCCCCACCCCCAATGTTCCAATATCTTGTAAATGGTTGAGATCCCTACCCCTAGACCATATATATTCCTGATCGTCATGTAACGAACATTCGAATGACGTATAGGGTCAGTCCCCAGGGGTTCCCCCCACCCCCAATGTTCTTGTATCTTGTAAATGGTCGAGATCCCCACCCCTAAACCATATATATTCTGGTTTGTCATGCCAAGATGATTTGAATGATATACAAGGTTAGTCCCCAGGTATCACTAATGCATATAACTTTACTGGACCAAACCAATTTTCACTGGACGTTGCCCAATGTCAGGCGACCCTTGGAATTACGAATTATGGGAGCTTCGTTTGGGAGACTTCGTAACAGCATCCTGTTACAATCATTTCTTGTTCTTTATTAAAACATCAATTACTTTGTCAAACCTTCATTGAATGATATGAAAGTTGGATAGAAGCTTTTTTATGAACATTTAAGCAGCACTTGCATATATTATTATTAGAGTATATATTACCGAGTTGATACAATATTCCAGTGCTTGATTTTCCTGACCTTATACCAAGGTTTCTTAATGGTTAATATAATAAGTACACATAAAAAAGTGATGTTTAGACATTCATTTGATGTTTGATCATCTTAGTTAAATAGATTAACAGTTTTGTAAAAAAATTTATACAGCTCCAAAGGAGAGAGTTGCTCAATTAGCGCTGTATCACATTTCTGTTCAATTTTTCCCAGCAACTACAAGTCGTAGCTTTCTTGATATACAGCAACAAGCTTCATCTGGTTATGTCCAGGGCTTCCAAAAAATATTTGAGCCAACCGGACATTGTATGTCTTATGGTATGCAGATTTTAATCCCTTAAGACTTCGTAACAAAAGAAAATAATGGTACTCAGTTGATTCATATAAACAATGATTGACATAAAAACGATGTTAAACTTGACTTTGATATGAAATCGATGTTCTGACATAAACTGTTAAATTGACAGTACATTTGACAGTACATCAATCGAAGTGGGCAACATCAGCATATTAATATCTGCCTAAGACTCTTTATTTGTGCAAAATTACGTTGTTAAAAACTTTACTTTCGTTTTTTTAAAAGCACTTTTTCGTAGAACTGGATGTTGACTTGACAAAGTAAAACACGGACCCAAGACAGAAATGTAAAATCTGTGTACATTTTATAAGCATGATTGGGTTTAAGTTGCTCTTCCCGTTATTTCTTCAAGAAATTATTCTCGTTAGATAAAGGTATCAATGATGATTTTAGCATTTTTGGAGGAATTCAGATCATATACTGCATTTCATGCTTTCAGTTTCTTAAATGCTCTAATTTCTGTTTGCTTAAAACTTGTATCTTTAAAATGTCGTGCACATATATTAACTACAAAATAGTCATCAGTATTGACCAAGGGTATAATCATTAGGTTTTTCTGATTGTTTTTAGATTGATAGAAGCTGGAGCCAGCAAAGTATATGCCATCTGTACACATGGAATATTTTCTGGTCCAGCCATTACACGCATCAATGAATCTGTGTTTGAAGCTGTAGTTGTAACCAATACAATACCTCAGGAAGAAAGGCAAAAACAAGCACCAAAAATTCAGGTACACATGTACAGTATAAAATTAGAAAAATAATTGTTTAATTTTGATTCCTTTTTGAACAGATTTCTATTCTTGAAAAACCTTGAAAACTCTTCAATTTAGAGTAGGCTTGTTGGCTCTAGAGTTACATAGTGTGTTAAGGTCAACAATTCACAAACAGTCACCGCAACATACAACCATTTGTAAACTATTCAAATCTGTGCTTGTTGTATATGTGTGAAACAAATTTTGCTGATTGTTACTTTGTGAGTTTGTAATAATCTCTAAATAAAGAAAGTTGTGTGTGCTTTAGTATTTTTGATTGTTGAGCACTGGACACAAATGCTACACTCAAATTAAGCTACTGTGGATTCCAGGCATGGGGCGAATTACATTGCAATGTAATGCATTATATTACAATTACTTTGACCAAACCATGCATTATATTACAATAACAATTACATGCATTTATCAAAGTAATGCATTATATTACAATTACTTTTGCAAAGTAATGCCTTGAATTACACATTACATTTGAAAATGTTATTAGTGAATAGAAAAATTAAACATTTTGAAAAACAACTAGAAATCACAAAAGATTGTAGCATATGCAGTAACTGTTCCATGAATTGAATATAAGTATACATGTAAAAAGTCTATTTAATTTGACTTTTACAATTTTTAATTATTTTAACTTAATGTTGACTTTACTTTTATAAATATATTTTTTGTTGTTTTTTTTTTTAATTTTAAACGAAATATTTAATTACTGTGAATTACTTCCCTAATTATAAAATAAACATAGACCTTAATTAATGAACAATTGTCTAAATGGTGAACATATTGATTGTTAAACAAACTAATTAGTGTTTTATAACAAAGTTTAATTATCTTTTATTTAAGCAAAACAAAGATATTATTTGATCTTATGACAACAATACAGCTATGCTTTTCAAATATCAATCTTTTTATGCAGGAAAATGTATGAAATAAGATGAAATAAAGAATATATTCTAATGATTAACATATTCTTAGTTAATCAAGAAATCTTAAATTTGGTTTAGTTAAAACTCCAACAATATGTTAAAGATGTAGTATGTGAAAAAAGTAATGACATGTAATGCCATGTAATGCATGAAATTACACAACTTTTTGCTAAAGTAATGCATTATATTACAATTACATGTAATGCACAAATTGCTGCATTACACATTACATGCAATTACTTGGAAAAATGTAATGCATTATCATGCATTACAATTACAAATTTGCATTACCCCATGCCTGGTGGATTCATTACTATTTGTTGGATACCAATTTTTCATTGATTTCATTTGTGAATGTGAACCACGAATTCAAATGTCCAATGAAGAAAAATTTTTCTATAGGCTTGTAGGCAATATTTGACAAAACTATGAAATCAAATATCCACGAAAAGACATTTTTTCCTCAATCCACAAAAATTGGTACCCACGAAAATAAATGAATCCACAGTATCAAAATTAAAAATGTGAGTTTATGGTTTTGTGACACATGTCCCAATGTAATTTTCACAATAATAAAAAAATACCCCATAAGGTATCTCTACCTTTTATTTTAGTAGTCATAACAGGCATGACAGGTAGGGTAGTTATCTGAATATTTTACATGAATATATTATTATAATTCCCATTCATTATCCTCATATAGTTTTCAAGATAAATATCAGTCAATTTTGTGTACATGTATAGCTTAATATCCAGTATTCAAGCTTATGTCAAGAATGTGACACCATTTGGTTATACTTGAGCACACATATATATCAATAACTCTAGGTAAATAAACTCATAATAGATTCATGCATTAAAATTGTAAGATAGTCAAAAAGTGAAACAGATTTTTGGTTGTATGTCAGTTATGTCAGAGTACAGATATATCAATTATTTGAGTTGAGGGCTTGAGGCTGTCATGAGTGTACACATATTTTGTTTTTATTAGTCCCCTACCAACGAAGTCGAAGGGGACTTTAGGTTTGCACTCTGTCCGTCTGTCTGTCCGTCCATCTGTCCATCCGTCAGTCCGGCAAATCAGCTTTCCACACTTTTTTTCTTAGTTCTTGAAGATATTGATTTGATATTTGGTATATAGTTTTGCCATGACAAGTTATAGATCAAGTTCGAATTTTGTTCTGGTCTGATGATTTAGTCCAGAGTTATGGACCATAACTCTGGACCATATCTAATGTTAGAATACTATGTTAAACCATATTTCTGTACAAAGGGAGATAACTCATTTTTTAAAAGACATTCTTTGGTAAATTATTTGAAGAATTTTTTGGCAGGTTTGTTTGTTATTTTGTATAAACTAATTTTCTGAATGCTATATATATATATATATAAAATTATGAAGTGAAATCCTTTAATTAGATAATAATCTATTTTTATTAATGTATATATTACATTACATTGTGTAGATAAAAATTGTTGACATTTTATAGATAAGTTACAAATCTATATTAGTTTCATTTTATAGATAAGTTACAAATCTATATTAGTTTGTGACAAAAGAAAAGAAAAAATATTTGGAACTATTAATTATATTTGATTATAATTTGAAAATAGATATACACTGTATTACATCATATCTAATTTTCGAGAACTATTAATTATATCTAATGTTATAGTGTTTTCCACATTTTTTTTCATCATGCTTGAAGATATTGATTGATAATAGGTATAGAGTTTTATCATGACAAGTTATACAGATCAAGTTTGAAATTTTGTTTCGGTCTGATAATTTTGTGCAGAGTTATGGTCCTTAGATTTGAAAAATTCACTCATTTAATCAGTTTTCCACACTGTTTTTAGTCATGCTTGAAGATATTGACTTGATATTTTCTTATTGTTTACAGTTTTACACCATGACAAGTTATATAACAAGTTAGCATTTTGTTCCAGTATAATGAATTTTTACCCGGTAGGGGACTATGTATTGCCATGCAATACTCTCAGAATGCTTGTTTAAACTTATTTGTGTTTTTCTTCAGTGTATAGATATATCCATCATTCTAGCTGAGGCTGTGAGAAGAACACACAATGGAGAATCTGTCTCATATTTGTTTAGTCATGTACCATTATAACAGGTAAACAATATATACTAATTATACATACAGTCAGCTTGCTTTATAAGGCATTATACTGGCTAATAACTTCATACAAATGTCAGTACCAAAGATCTGTGGACAAGCATTAAGAATATCACATCATTTTTGTCTCGCCTTGACAGTGAAAAAGCAAGACTTAGGTATGCTGTTTCTGACAGCGTTGGCAGCTTCAATGTATTATTTTGTGATTAGGTCAGTTTTCGTGGGAACCATAAGTGGTAGGTCAATGATATTTTGTATGCGGTTGTATAAGCATCGGCACATTTCATTTCCATGGAGATAATTTGGCCCCACCCCCCTCAGTCATGGTCTATTGACTTTGAAACTTTTGCCTACTTAGCATGTATTACTTTAAATTCAGAAATTATTGCGTGCATTTATTATTGTGATGTTGTTATTTTAGACTAAAATGCAATTTTAATTTTTGCGATATTGAGAAAAATCCTGTTTAATTCATATAAAAAAATTTCAAAATGCGAGTTTAAATTATTGCGATTATTACCCTGTCGCATTTTCGTAATAATAAAAACATCGCAATAATTTCTGAATTTACAGTACATGTAGTTTGTGATTAGGTCAGGTTAAGGGAATCACTAGTGGTAGGTTAATGATATTTGGTATGCAGATGCATAAGCATTGGCACATCTCATTTCCATGAAGATCATTTGGCTCCAACCCTTCAGTCATGGTCTATTGACTTGAAATGTTTTGCATAGTTTACATGTTAAAGTTAGTGATTAGATCAGTTTAAGAGGAACCACTCATGTATAGTCAATGATAGTATTAGCATTTGAAAGTCTTCTTTTCCATGGAGATTATTTGGCCCACCCCTTATCAAGGTTCATTGATTTTGAAATTTTTACATTGTTTACAAGTTAAAGTTGGTGTTTAGGTTAGTGTTTAGGGAACTACTTATCATAAGTTAATGGTATTTGGTATGCAGTTTTATAAGCATTGGCATTTCTCATTTCCATGGAGATTATTTGGTCCTGCACCTTAAGCCATGGTTCATTGACTTTAGATGTTTTGCATACAGTAGTTTATATGACTAAATATTGCCATTTGGATTCAATATTTGCATTATTCTATCAAAATTTCAAAGAGGCGAGACAAATCTCTGTGTCAACAGTTCATTGTATATATAATTGTGTTATTAAGGCTATCTTATAGTTTAGTTTATATTTCAAGATTAACAAAGATTGACAATGCAATATAAAGGGATGGTGAATTTTCAGGGAGTTCATTTCTAGCATTGAATGTACATTGCGAAATTTTGACAAATAAGAACAATTCCTATGTACAATATTCTTATCTTCAATTCTGAATGATCGCATTGGTGGTCTCCTGGTAGCGTGTTTGCCTAGAGTGCGGGAGGTAGTGGATCGAACCCCGGCCAGGTCAAACCAAAGACTTTAAAATTGGTATTTGAAGGTCGTACTTTGACCTATAATGGTTTACTTTTACAAATTGTGACTTGGATGGAGAGTTGTCTCGTTGGCACTCATACCACATCTTCTTATATCTATTTGCTGCTTCTCCGCTAAGCACTTGGCATTAAGGAGTAAGAGCAAAGACTGGTTAGCTCCGAGTCAGAATAATGTGTCCGGGTAAGGTGACATGTCTTCCTGCGGATTGTTGTGAACTAGTACGTTAAAAATTCAGCTCAGTGTGTCGGTCTAGTACAAAGCAGGGCTAAATTTCATATTACATTAACATGTTCTCGTTCTGAATAGAAATGAAAGTACAACATTTTCCTGGTAACATGTTTACTACCGTAGTTTATAGTAAGGTAAATGTCCGTCCCATGAATTAAACAAAACAGAAAGTATTAAATCTATCAAAATAAAATCCTTCACAAGACATTAACCTGTCAGATGTCACTTTTTTATGCCTTCAAACTTCTTGTGCTTAAGGAAAAGCTTTAAAGATAACTTCATTTTAGGGGGGTTCAATATGTAATATATAGACATAATCAACAGCCTCTCCAAAATAGGTATGATTGACATATCTTTTTTTTGGATGACACTTTTGCTCATATCCAAATTCACCCAAAAAGTATGTGTATAAAGGCCAGTTTAGGTGAGATTTATGAATTTTATATTGATATTGGTACAATGACATCACAGATGACAGTTCTGGACATAAGGCTAAAAATGAAATTTAGATTGTTTGATGTTGCCTACCCACCCACCTAAAAAGCAGCCAACCAGAAAAATTTTATGAGACAAATTAGTTCAAGTTTTTTTTAAAGATTTTTTCCTGCTCTAATGTCGTTTTTTTGTTTGATGTTGCCTACCCACCCACCTAAAAAGCAGCCAACCAGAAAAATTTTATGAGACAAATTAGTTCAAGTTTTTTTTAAAGATTTTTTCCTGCTCTAATGTCGTTTTTTTTGTCTAAAACATGTAACTTATGAACTTATGTTGTTGGCCAAAAAAAAAAAATTTCCCTACCTACCTACCAAACCATTCAAGGCACGGGGAGGCAACATCAAACAAAGAATTTTGGGTTGATATAGGTGTGATATTGAAAAAGCCATATGATATTCTTTCTGTAATAGTAACATAACTATTAAAGTAATTATTATGATTTCAGAAGAAGCACAGCATCATGTTGTTGTCATTTTGAAGACTTCACAAGTAAATACATCATATTAATGAACAGATTGTTATCAGATCATGTTTAATTTCTAAGAGGATTCTATGTAACTACTGCAAACATTTAGATTTTCAATTCTTCTTTTTTGTCTCGCCATGCGAGACATAGATATTACTATCCGGCGGAGGTGGCGTAAACTATTATATAAAGCTTTATATTTCAGAAGGCAGAAGACCTGGATGCTTCATATCTTGTATGCAGATACCTTATGTTACGAAGTTTCCGTCTGTCATATGTCCAATGCCCTTGACCTCATTTTTCAAGTACTATTAGCAATAGGTCAATTATATTTGGTGTATGGAAAGTTCATAAGTTGTACATATCTGTCTGGCAGGTATCATATGTCCTTGACCTCATTTTCATGGTTCATTGGTCAATTTTAAGTTTCTGTGTATTGGTCTGTTTTTCAAGTACTATAAGCAATAGGTCAACTATATTAGGTGTATGGAATGATTGTAAGGTGTATATGTCTTGGGTTGATATCATCTGACCTTAACCTCATTTTCATGGTTCATTGGTCAATGTTCTAAGTTTTTTTTTGTTTTGGTCTATTTTTCAATTATCATAAACAATAGGTCAACTATATTTTGTGTATGAAAAATTTTTAAGGTGTATATGTCTGTCTGACAGCATTTATCTGACCTGAGTTTCTGTGATAATTTTAGTTAAACTTTTATCTTTAAGACTTTCAACATAAAATCAATGGTCAGTAAAGCAGGTGAGACATTTCAGCGTGTGCACTCTTGTTTATTTTTTTTTATTATGTTTATTTGTGAAATTGTTTTCACTTGATGTACATACACAAAACCTTGTTATTCAAACTTCAGTATGTTTTGAGATTGTAGAATACTTAAGGTAGCACAATACAAAGATTTTATACCTTCAACTCCCCAGTTTTAAAATGCTGTAACTTTCTTTATAATGCTTGAAAATTTATAAAAGTGGTATTTATGGATAGCTAACAGATTACTCTTTCAAATTAATGCAATGTTAGTATTATACAACAATTATGTAATTAATTATAGTTTTAACTGTGTCTACAAAATTTTACAAGAAATTTCCACTTTCAATTGAAATTAGCTTCTTCATGGATACCCCGAGAGGGTTGATTTTATAATATGTTGTTCCTAGAGCCATTATCTACAAAAGGGTGTCTCAGATTTTGGATAGAATGTATAGATCAAATTTTACACCTAATCAAATAATCTCTACTTTTATGTGGTAAGGATGTTTACACTAATTACAGATTTATGAGAGAATGGAATATGATAGCGATAATTTGAGACACCCTTTTGTAGCTCCTGCTGTGTTGATTAAGATAACGTTAAAATTTCTTGTGTAGTTATAGAGATGTCAGAGCTAAATTCATTCAAGTGAACTGACCAAGATTTTGCCATTAATTGCATAATAATTGATCACATAATGATTGCATAACAAAAATATTGCATTCATTTAAAAGATTAATCTTTTATCTATCTATATATACCTCTTTTATTAATTTGTATGCAGTCATAAGAAAGTAACATCATTTTAAAGGTTGGAGATTGGAAGTAAAAAAATATTTGTATTGTGCTACCTTAAGTAGGTATATATGACAGAACAACTGTTTCCATAGAAAATATAAGGTGTTTCCTTTGAAAATGCAATTTAAGATAAAAATTTCAATTATAAGGATGTTTGCTACTCTTGTTTTTGACTTTTTATTAGAAATTCAGAATCCTCTAGTTTGTAAAGCCAATAAAATAATTCCTGCCAACCCCAACTTTTCTTTCCATAATTTTATGACGTATAGTTTAAAAAGCCATTTTTTATCCTCGCGACGGGGGCATTGAGTGTGACCCTTGACCGTCGGTCTTTCCGTCCTTCCATCTTTCTGTTCGTCCGTCCCATTATCGTTGCAAGGCTTGAGTGGGAGCATTCATGTCCTCAGACACATTCTTCTTTTATTTAAATCTTATAATATCTTTTTTATTTTTTCATAGTTTTAGGAAGATAAAAGGTACCAATGTTAAATGTATGAACAATATAGAGAGAATCATTTCCCACCAAATTTTCAACTGGTTATATCTATAAAAAGAAGAAATGAAAAAACAAGGACACAGACCTTTCATTTTTTATGCTTTTTAAGTTCCCTTATTTATACTATGAATTTATAACAGTCTTTTAAAAAGCTGGTTATTTTGGAACAGAGGAGCGAACATCCTTAAGAAGATTCTAGGTGATTGTGATGTAAATCAGTATATTTGGTTTTATATAGTGCTATTGTTGTTTATGTTTCAATCTACTTTATAACATGTTTGACATGTATTTAGATGAGGATGTTAAAAGTCATAGAATTACACAATTTTCAAATGTTGAAGAAATGACTTGATTGAGAAGTTACTTATAAAGACAACTTCTTTGAATTAATAATTATATACTGTAATTTATTAATGCGAATAATGCAACTGGTTGAGAATTACATTTTTGATATCTGTTACATATATCTGTATGCAATTTTTCCTGAAATCACAATAATTAATCTAAATTTTGGTTGATCATGTCAAAATCGCAATAATAAATGCTCACAATAATTTCTGATTTTACATTATAAGTATGTGAATTTATTAAATCAATATGAGAAATAATTGAAAAATATGCCTTCTTACTTAAAAACAAGTTTTTTTCCCCCATAAGAGACTAAATGTTTGCATGTGTTTATTTGCATTGTATTTTTATTTGTTAAATCTTTATACATCATACTATTGTTCTTCTCTAGGACCATTTTAATTAGATGCACCTCACATTTGTCTCATTAAATTAACGATTTGTTTTACATTCCATTAAAAAATAACCCATGACACTCTAGTAATAAAGACCAAGACAAAATTGTTCTCTAAAACGGAAATTATGTTCTGTGTCAACTAATGGTCACTAGAAAAGAGTGTATTACTTGTGGTTAGGATAATTGGGAAAATAATCAAATTTTTGGTCAGGTTATATATTTCTGTATGTTTTATGCATTTTAATGCATAAAATTGTCAGATATTGTGTGATTACAATGAATTTTTAAAGAAAATCCACAAAGCCAGAATTACGTGTTCAGATTTATTTTGTTGGTATGAATAGTTTATCATGTTAAAACTTTGCACTTTTGAAATTCATATTTGTTGACCTTTGAAGTGTCATTTCATTTATACATTGTGTTGTTGTATGATATGTTTTGTTTTCCATAAGTAAGTCTGTATTTAAAAGGTTATTATGTATTAATTTTAAGAATTGAATTTTGTGATAAGATATTTTTTTTATTTAGAAGAGTACAAGTTTTGATATTACATTGTATAATAAAGACAAACAGAAATAAGACAGGGATCAAAATACAGTGATTCTAAGTCTAATGATAGTGGGATTGCAATATAAAATAAGCACCTAATGAACTCTCATGGTTTCTTGGAAAGGGATTTAAGTTTGGCTAGTTCTGGAGTCTGAATCTCCCAGGATTAAAATTCCTGGAAATAGTCCATTACATCAAGTAAAAAAGTTAATTGTTAATAAATAGAATATCAATTTGTACATTAAACATGTTTTTATAACTTGATATTATCACATGGTAAAAGTTCAAAAAAAAATAGAATAGATGTACATGTATAAGGTTGTAACTGTTTTCATACCCTTGTTTATTTTTTAATACTAGCAAAGACAAAATATTAAAAAAAAAGTTGGTTTGTAAATTTTTTAGAATTATGAGATCAAAATCGTAATTATTATAGCATATGAAATACTAACATTTTTATTAAGAATGATTAACATAAAGATATTTGTTATGGAAATAAGTGCTAGATTGTGCCAATCAACGATGATTATACATAAGTGTGATAAGATAATGTATTGTAACCTGGAATTTGTTTTAACGGATATGATCAGTTTAAATAGGGTTTGGACCTCATGTAATTATGTTTTGAAGTTCATGGATTCCCATGTTAGAAATAAAATTCTTCAGCAATGATAATATATCTTTTTCAATTTGCCTTTATTAGTGTTCAGCAATTACCATACCTAGTTAAAAATAATTTGGGCCATGTGAGCTTATGCCATCACTTGGAGTTTGTCTTTGTCGTCCATAATGATTTTCTAGTTTGTACTTGCAGTTTGAAAAAAAAAGTAAAATCACAAAAATACTGAACTCCGAGGAAAGTTGTATACATGCTATAATTTTTTTCTGGAAGAAAGGAACAATATGTATCTAGCAAGAATGACCTAGAAAAAATGCTTTCTGTTAGCTTTTGAAAAGCAGCATCAGCCTCAGGTTCATGTGAGGCACCAGAAGCAGGTTTCTTTTTGTCATTTAAGTAAGTAATAAGCAATGCATGCTGATTTATACAATTCCTTCAAATTATCGAAGGAAATTGAGTCAAATATGCCATGAAGACAGCGATTGCACATATACTGCCTAAAAAAGAACATTTTTCCCCTTTCCTGTTGCAATTAAAAATTTTCAGTGACCAACATTTTATAGCAAATTATGCATAACCGCCAATTACATTTGATTCTACTCATTTTTATATGACCGCAAAAATATTGGTATCACGTCGTCGTCTGAAGACATTTGGTTTCCGGACAATAACTTTAGTATATGTTAATAGAAATCTATGAAATTTGAACACAAGGTTTATAACCACAAAAGGAAGGTTGGGATTGATTTTGGGGGTTATGGTCCTAACAGTTTAGGAATTACGGGCCAAAAAGGGGCCCAAATAAGCATTTTTCTAGTTTCCAGACAATAACTTGGAAAGGTGTATGGATCTCTCTGAAATTAGACCACAAGTTTCCATACCACAAAGGAATGGTTAGGATTGGCTTTGGGGGGTTATGGCTCAAAATGTTTAGGAATAAGGGGAAAACAAGGGTTTCCTGGTTAATGGACAATTACTTAAAAGTACATTGTTATGTTTGGATTACCTCCCTTACATTGCTTTTAAATTATGTTTAAAGAAATGTTGTATTGTCTTGGGGTGATTTACTATCAATTTATTTTTAGAAGTTACTATTAAAAATGCTGATTAAGGAATATTAATTTTAGCCATGATTATGTATGTCTTTTCTATTTTAAGAATTTTATGATGTATTTAAATGGGTAATTATGGTTGCAAACTCCATTGGAAATTTGAATTGAGATTATGACCATATCTTGAGGGAAATTTTTTAAAAAAGTTATTGTCCTTGAAACGTATTTAACAATGTTTTTTTGCTAATTATATAGAGAAAGGCTATAATTAAATAGCAAAAAAGATCATCATTCAAAAATAATAATTTCTATAAGGAGTCCACTGACAATTTTGTTCATGTCAGATTATTTGTTGATCTTTGTTTTTTTGCTGATAATTTTTGCTATTTCTAGTTTTTATACGACCGCTAAAAAATTTTTGTGGTTGTAAATTGGTATGACGTTGGCGTCGTCGTCTTCGTCCGGCGTCGTCGTCCGAAGACGCATTAGTTTTCGCACTCTAACTTTAGTTTAAGTGAATGGATCTCTATGAAATTTTACCATAAGGTTCAATACCATAAAAGGAAGGTGGGGATTGATTTTGGGGGTTATGGTACCAACAGTTAAGGAATTAGGGGCCAAAAAGGGGCAAAAAATAAGCATTTTCTAGTTTCCAGACAATAACTGTGGAACGGTGTATGGATCTCTCTGAAATTATACTACAAGTTTCCATACCACAAAGGGATGGTTAGGATTTGCTTTGGGGGGGGTTATTGCTCAAACCGTTTAAGAATTAGGGGCAAAAAAGGGGGAAAAACAAGGTTGTCCTCATTAATGGACAATACTTAAGTACAAAACATAATTTAAAGCAGTGTAAGGGAGATAAATCAAATACATCATTGAAATTATCTCCCTTACACTGCTTTTAAATTATGTATAAAGTAATGGTTAATGAACAATTAAGATAATTTAAAACAGTGTAAGGGAGGTAATCCAAAAAACAACGTTTTGGTTACTTCCCTTGCACTGCTTTTGAATTATGTTTAAAGAAATGCATATTTATAAAGGAAGACCAGTATGGTGCATTAGATTTGTAAAATCTTTGACCACGTTTATTTATTTGTTATGCCAATTCTAACCGTGTATTTAGATTTTTAATTTTTGGTCCAGTTTTCAAATTGGTCTACATTAAGGTCCAAAATTAAACTTTGTTTGATTTCAACAAAAATTAATTATATGGGGTTCTTTGATATGCTGAATCTAAACATGTATTTAGATTTTTGATTTTTGGCCCAGTTTTCAAGTTGGTCCAAATTGGGGTCCAAAATTAAACTTTGTTTGATTTCAACAACAATTGAATATATGGGGTTCTTTGATATGCTGAATCTAACCATGTATTTAGATTTTTTATTTGTGGACCCCGCTATCAAATTGGTTAATATTGAGGTCAAAAGGGTCCAAAATTAAACTTTGTTTGATTTCATCAAAAATTGAATTATTGGGGTTCTTTGATATGTCAAATCTAACCGTGTATTTAGATTTTTAATTTTGGGTCCCGTTTTTTAAATTGGTCTACATTAAGGTCCAAAGGGTCCAAAATTAAACTTAGTTTGATTTTAACAAAAATTGGATTCTTGGGGTTCTTTGACATGCTGAATCTAAACATGTGTTTAGGTTTTTGATTATGGGCCCAGTTTTCAAGTTGGTCCAAGTTGGGGTCCAAAATTAAACTTTGTTTGATTTCAACAAAAATTGAATATATGGGGTTCTTTGATATGCTGAATCTAAACATGTATTTAGATTTTAGATTTTTGGCCCAGTTTTCAAGTTGGTCCAAATTGGGGTCCAAAATCAAACTTTGTTTGATTTCAACAAAAATTGAATATATGGGGTTCTTTGATATGCTGAATCTTTCCATGAATTTAGATTTTTTATTTGTGGGCCCGCTATCAAATTGGTTCATATTGAGGTCAAAAGGGTCCAAAATTAAACTTTGTTTGATTTCATCAAAAATTGAATTATTGGGGTTCTTTGATATGCCAAATCTAACCATGTATTTAGATTTTTAATTTTGGGTCCCGTTTTTTAAATTGGTCTACATTAGGTCCAAAGGGTCCAAAATTAAACTTAGTTTGATTTTAACAAAAATTGAATTCTTGGGGTTCTTTGATATGCTGAATCTAAACATGTGTTAAGATTTTTGATTATGGGCCCAGTTATCAAGTTTGTCCAAGTTGGGGTCCAAAATTAAACTTTGTTTGATTTCAACAAAAATTGAATATATGGGGTTCTTTGATATGCTGAATCTAAACATGTATTTAGATTTTAGATTTTTGGCCCAGTTTTCAAGTTGGTCCAAATTGGGGTCCAAAATTAAACTTTGTTTGATTTCAACAAAAATTGAATATATGGGGTTCTTTGATATGCTGAATCTTACCATGTATTTAGATTTTTTATTTGTGGGTCCGCTATCAAATTGGTTCATATTGAGGTCAAAAGGGTCCAAAATTAAACTTTGTTTGATTTCATCAAAAATTGAATTATTGGGGTTCTTTGATATGCCAAATCTAACCGTGTTTTTAGATTTTTAATTTTGGGTCCCGTTTTTTAAATTGGTCTACATTAAGGTCCACAGGGTCCAAAATTAAACTAAGTTTGATTTTAACAAAAATTGAATTCTTGGGGTACTTTGATATGCTGAATCTAAACATGTGTTTAGATTTTTGATTATGGGACCAGTTTTCAAGTTTGTCCAAGTTGGGGTCCAAAATTGAACTTTGTTTGATTTCAACAAAAATTGAATATATGGGGTTCTTTGATATGCTGAATCTAACCATGTATTTTGAATTTGGACATTGGACCATAATAGGTAAATTAAAAAAAATGAAGTTCTTAGACCACATTCTTTCTGTTTCAGAAACCTATGCTGTGTCAAATATTTAATCACAATCCAAATTCAGAGCTGTATCAAGCTTGAATGTTGTGTCCATACTTGCCCCAACTGTTCAGGGTTTGACCTCTGCGGTCGTATCAAGCTTCGCACAGCGAAGCATTTTATTCTCTTTATCTAAATCACAAATTACAAAACAAAGTGCTTTTCTTAAGTTTAATGGACTTTCTAACATCACGACAGAACATCATATTAGCCATGTGGTATGGGTTTCCAATGGTGGAGATTTTTGAAAAATTGCAAAAAAGCCGGACTTTCCGATTTACTTCTTTTGCATTATCTTACATCGGAACAGTTATAATTAATTCCTGAATTTCAGAAATATTTTCCTATATTGTTTTTTTTTTCAGAAACTATAGCAATAGATCACATAAATGTTGTTGTGTGGAATGATTGTAATATGTACAAGTTTGCCTGGCAGGGTTCATCTGACCTTTACTTCATTTGCATGGTTCATTCGTCAAAGTTAAGTTTTCCTTATTTAGTCTGTTTCTTAGATATTATAAGCAATAGGTTAACTTTATTTGATGCATGGAATGATTGCAAGGTGTACATGTCTGTCATGTAGGGTTCATCTGACCTTGGCCTCATTTTCATGTTTCATTAGACAATATTACGTTTTCATTGTTTGGTCTGTTTCATGTATACTATAAGCAATAGGTCGTCAACTATATTTGGTGAATGAAAAGATTGTTGTAAGGTGTACATGTCTGTCATATTTTGTTGTCTGACCTTGACCTCATTTTCATTGATAATGTCAAGTTTATGTGATTCTTGTAGTAAAACTTTATCTTTAGGACCATAAACATAAAATCAATCATGGCTAGTAAAGCAGGCGAGACATTTCAGCATGATCACTCTTGTTTGTGTTTTGACAGAAACTAGTAAATAGTAAATAGTGATTTTACCTACTATCTAGGAAACTATAAAAGATCGACTGAATTTTTGAATAGCAGATGTAGAGGCTTTAATAATTTGGATTGTCCAATTCTTGACATTGAGCATAAAAACCAGGTGAGTGAAACCGACTCTGCAACTTTTACTACGAAGTACAAGTTAGGTTGGCATTTATGTAAACCACACTTTAAGTTTCACAAATTACTGGAATATCATAAGGTCATATTTCCGAAAAAGGCAGAGCCTAAAAAGGTTTTAACTAGAAGAGAATATCTAAAGATTTGACAGTAGTTCAGAGCAGACAATTTTTGTCGCAGAAAGCTCGACATAGGGATAGTGATCCGCGGTGGCGTTAACTAACTTAAAAGCTTAATATTTCAGAGGGTAGAAGACCTGGATGCTTCATACTTTGTTTATAGATGCCTTATGATATGAAGTTTCTGTCTGTCATATGTCCATTGTCCTTGACCTCATTTTCATGGTTCAGTGACTGCTTGAAAAAAAAGTGAAGATTTTTTGTGATGTTAATTTCTCTCATATTATGAGTAATAAAATAACTATATCTGGTATGTGCGTACTTTGCAAGGTCCTCATGTCTGTCAGACAGTTTTCACTTGACCTCAACCTCATTTCATGGATCAGTGAACAAGGTTAAGTTTTAGTGGTCAAGTCAATATCTCAGATACTATAAGCAATAGGTCTACTATGTTTGGTGTATATAATGATTGTAAGGTGTACAATCCAACTGGCAGGTGTCATCTGACCTTGACCTCATTTTCATGGTTCAATGGTCATAGTTTAATTTTTGTTTTTTGGTCTGTTTTTCTAATACTGTATGCAATAGGTCAACTATATTTGGTGTATGGAAATATTTTACAATGTACATGTCAGTCTGGAAGGTTTTATTTGACCTTGACCTCATTTTCACGGTTCAATGCTCAATGTTAAGTTTTTGTGTTTTGGTCTGTTTTTCTAATACTGTATGCAGTAGGTCAACTATATTTGGTGTATGGAAATATTTTACGATGTACATGTCAGTCTGGCAGGTTTTATTTGACCTTGACCTCATTTTCACGGTTCATTGCTCAATGTTAAGTTTTTGTGTTTGGTCTGTTTTTCTTATCCTGTAAATATTTTACGATGTACATGTCAGTCTGGCAGGTTTTATTTGACCTTGACCTCATTTTCACAGTTCATTGCTCAATGTTAATTTTTGTGTTTTGGTCTTTTTCTAATATTGTATGCAAAAGGTCAACTATATTTGGTGTATGGAAATATTTTATGATGTACATGTCAGTCTGGCAGGTTTTATTTGACCTTGACCTTATTTTCATGGTCCATTGCTTATGTTAAGTTTTTGTGTTTTGGTCTGTTTTTCTTAAACTTTAAGCAATAGGTCAACTATATTTGGTGTATGGAATGATTGTAAGGTGTATATGTCTGTCTGGCAGGTATCATCTGTCCTTCACCTCATTTTCATTGTTGATTGGTCAATGTTCAGTTTTCCTGGTTTACTAGTACTTTGTTTCCTAGATACTTTAAACAATTGGTCAACTATATTTAATGCATTGAATGATTTTAAGGTGTACATGTCTGTCTGGCAGGGTTCATCTGACCTTGACTTAATTTCCATGGTTCATTGGTCAGTATAGAATTTCCATGGTTTTGTCTGTTTCTTTTATACTATAAGCAATAGGTCATCTATATTCTGTGTATGGAATGATTGTATTAAAAGTGTAAATGTATTTCAGGCTTGGTTTATCTGACCTTGGCCTCATTTTCTTGGATCATAAATGTTAATGTGATACTTGTAGTAAAACTTTATATGTAGGACTATCAACATAAAATCAATGGTCAGTATAGTAGGCGAGACATTTCAGCGTGTGCACTCTTGTTAATAAAAAACATTATCCATTCAGTGATTTATTATACAGTATTATAGCATGTATAAAAAAGCCGATTATATCTTTGTTGATATCCTTAAATCTGTATACATGATATAGGAAAGCTCCTTGGTCTTGGAAACATTCGTCGACGTGGACACCCTTAAAAAAATTAAAGCAGTTTATTAGTGTCTATGAAAAGAGAGGCAAAAGATACCATAGGGACATTCAAACTCATAAGTCAAAAATAAACTTTCCAAATATCTTGCTTAATGGTGTTGGGGGAAAATCCTTACCAACTAAAATCAAAATAGCAGGCGCACCCTTCATTTTCTATAGAAGAAGTAGAAAATTGATTATCAGAACTCACTTACTTCATTTTTTCTATTATGCAATAGACGTGGACACCCTTAAAAAAATTAAAGCAGTATATTAGTGTCTATGAAAAGAGAGGCAAAAGATACCATAGGGACATTCAAACTCATAAGTCAAAAATAAACTTTCCAAATATCTTGCTTAATGGTGTTGGGGGGAAAATCCTTACCAACTAAAATCAAAATAGCAGGCGCACCCTTCATTTTCTATAGAAGAAGTAGAAAATTGATTATCAGAACTCACTGACTTCATTTTTTCTATTATGCAATTAGGAACAAAACATCCTAACAATATTGTCAAAGAAAATACTGAGACGCAAAAGCCTTTGTGATTGCTTTCAATTACTGATAGCATGCTTTGTAATACTTCATGTTTTAACTAATTTTTCGACATCAATACATGATTATGTGACTGACCGAAAATTCAGGAATTACGTAAGTGCTTGTTCCATAATTGATTAATGTTTTGGCTTTGTTTTGATTCAGTGAGTAGCGTGTCATTTTCGCTTGTCTATTGAAAGAACCCTTATGTTGATCACTAAAATGCTTCTTTTTTTTTCCTTTTTTTTGGGGGGGGGGGGGGGGGATGTTAAATAGGTGGTGTTGAAAATTTGAAAAAAGGCAGGACAGGAGTTTTTAGTAAAAAGAAAGGCAGGATGAGCAACTTGGAAAAAAAAAAGGCAGGACCGAATAGAGTGAAAAATAAAAAGGCAGGACAGAGATTACAACTAAAAAAAATGCAGGACAAAATTTTTCATCCTAGCCCCCCCCCCCCATAAAAATCAAATGGTAGCTCCCTAAATACGTACGGATTTCACACTTCTTTCCATAAAACCCAGTTCCACCACAGAAACATTTGTATGAAGGTAATCCATTCCACGTTCTTGTAGAAACACAAAAACCATGGTTACACACGTCAGGTAGAGAGCAGTAATTCCCAAGCCCTGCGTGGAGAAAAAAAAGATACTGTTTGAATCAAATAGAATAAATGACCTTTTGTGAATCCTTTCAGACTTTTTACATCTATTGCTGATTCTTAAAAAAAATAGTCATACGTACATTCGTACAAATAACCAAATTTAAGTAAAAAAAAGTTAGGTTAAAGCTAAAGTGTAAACTTTATGCAAAATGAGTGAATGCCAAAAGGTACGTCATTGTTACTGGTCAGGTATTGCTTTCCGTAACACTATCTATTTGACGATTTTTTTTCAGTCGCATTCAAACATCTATGAGCGTACCTGTCACCGTTGTAAGAGTTGACCTGCCATAATGTCATCTTTTTCCACGCCAAATTTTTGTTATTGTAGAAAAAAGTCGATGAGTGCACACACAATATCACTTTATTCTAAATTTATAAGTACACTGCATTATCATTAACGTACTTGTATTTCCTCGTGTACTGAATTAAACACGAACGATGACCCCCCACCCCCCTTCATATATGTACATGATAAATACCATATAGCTCCAACTGACAATCCTCTAAACTACTAAACATAGTAGGATTCTGACAATTATCAATGTCTTCTCTAAAAGTGCATTCATTTTCCATAATAGTCCATCCTTCGTATAGCTGGTTGCAGTTTCGATCAACTGGGTTGCTGTTTACAGTAGTATCTAAAATAGAAAAATGGAAGTGTGACAATCTGATATAACAAAGGACAAGCAGACCGGTATTTTAAAATATCCAAACTATCGACAGAAGAAACTCGGTGTTAACTGGTGATAACGGGGTGTAAAGGGGAAATGGATTTGTCACTGGTGTAATTCTAGGGTAGATGATCTTGCTTGTTATTAAACACAGATTTCGAATAAGAAAAATGTAATGTTGCAATATTTATACTTAAATTGAAGTCATTTTCAATCTGATTGAAATACCGATTATGTGTTCAAGCATTACAAAGCTAGGACACCGTATCTATTTTAATCAGTAAAGTAATTTTGGTATTTGTTTGAGCTTTGAAACCCAAAAATTTGGTTGATTATATAGGAAATCACTGAAGCATGACTGGAGCGGGCCCCATCTTAGGTCAGTCAGTACGTTCTTCTTAAAAAAAAGTTGAAACGTTTTGAAGATTATGTTGGTGAAATACGGGAGATATTCGGTTACTTTACGGTATAGAAATAACAATCACTAAACCAGTCCAGTAACTTATTTTAAAATGGAGAACCAAATTTGTTCAAGCAGAATTAAAAAAAAAATCGAAGATAGATTTTATGCATATGAGTAACTAACAATATTTGCCTTTTCTCCTAAATCTGTCCAGCATTGACGACTTCAATAATTATACATCATTATAACTAATTCATTCCATGATAAACATCTTCTTATTTTACAATTAACGCTATTTCTTTCAATGTTTCCCATCCTTTATTACAGGTATTGGGTAATCATGTTTCATCTTCAGAGATATTTCTCAGATATCTAGCAAACTTCTAGTGCGTTTGTCAAAGAATGTTTGGAAAAACCATATAAAAAAGTGCAATCAGGTCATTGGTATGATTGTACACGTAGATCTGTATTATTCATATTTTTCATGCGCTTATATCTGCAGCTACGACGATATAATTTGAAACCCAACCGAGTAGTGTGGAAACGAGTTTAATTTATATCTTAATGCATGGTAAATAGATCATCTTTTAGTCATAAACTGTTCTGTCGGTCACTGACCATGTAACGTCATAAACTTATCATGAACTTTACAAAAATATTCATAATTATTTTCACAGAGAAGCATTGCTAAGCTCTAAAATATGACAACTTATCGTCAAAGTTATTTCTATACATGTATATGTTAATTCGTGGTCAAAATTAAAAATATTTCAGTTAAAATATATTTATAAAATGTCTACGGACACTGAACGCTTAGACCGAAGCCTTCTTTTTCTTTCGATTTTTATTGTTTTTACAGATGCAATTAGCAAAAAGGGGAATCGTATCCATATAATTTCCTTTTTTTACGTGCAATACGCGAAGAATCGGTGTGTACAAAGAGACACAGTGAGTCTGCACTTGCCAAAAACAATATAGACAGTAATACAGGACATCGATGCCAATGGGAATTTTTGCTTATTACACTCCGGTTCGGATCGAGGATTTTAAAGAAGGGGAACTCCTAGCAAGCCAACGATTGGAGTGATACTTGTAAAAAGTCTATATGCATTTATCATATATGAAGCTCCATAAAGGGGGTCGGGTCCCCTGCCCCTTAAATCCCTTTAAATTGTTCTGAACTTAGGTGTCAGCAGGCTAATATTCACTTCCCGTCGTTCTAAAGAAACTGTAAGATTTTGTTTCTTGATTAGATCATTAAAAGGAAGATTGATTGATTGTTGGTCGATTAACGTCCAGTAAAAATAAACATGCATTTTCAGGACGAAAACAAATTAACAATAAATCCAATTCGTAGGACATGCAAAATTGGCTATCCGCAATGAGGTGCGAGAAATTTAGACTGTCATTGGAAAAATTATGTTGCATAGCCCGAGACATCGAATTAAATGTACGCCATTCCAACTGGACGTGGGTGCGTATGTCTTGATACATCCCACACAGCTAAATGGATGCAATGGGGAAATCCGCACCAGATACGTACTTGGTCTTAGTTTAGAAAGTCAAATACTGGAAAATCCGCACCAGATACGTACTTGGTCTTAAGTTTAGAAATTTAATACTGGGAAATCCGCACCAGATACGTACTTGGTCTTAAGTTTAGAGAGTTTAATACTGGGATAACAAGAATGATTGTTTTAAGATTTTCCAGTTCGGTGGTAAACGTTGATATAAGAATAAGGAGATTTGGTATGATTGCGGCCAATGAGACAATTATCCACAAGAGTTCAAATGAAGTGGATGTTAGCAATTATAGGCAACCACACGGCCTTAAACAATGAGAAAAACCCATACAGTATAGTCGGCTATAAAAGGCCCCGACATGAAAAATGTTAAATATTCAAACGAGAAAACTAACGGCCTTATTTATAACAAAACAATTTACGAAAAACAAATATAGCCGACATGAAGCAACGACAACCACCGAACTACAGGCTCCTGACTTGGGACAGGCACACAACGAATGTGGCGGGGTTAAAAATATTTGTGTTTGCTCAACCCTCTCCCTAACCTGGGACAGTGGTATAACAATACAAAGTAAGAACAAACTATAAAAATCAGAAGCAAATGGCTTAACTCAACAGATCAGTACGAGGAACAAAAACAACAAACGTAAAAACGTTTACTATATAGTACTACTGGTTTACTAGTAATTTAATGGAGGTTCAAGCCTCTTTATTCACAGCGAATCGGTATAAAACAATAGTGTTGAAACTTATAAAACCATATCAAATCAAGATTGTATCAACCTTTCAAATATATTGCACAGTACGATGTTCAGTCGGTCAGTGACCAACATAAGAATACATCATCAAGCACTGAACGCAAACATAACAATGATAAAAATCATCAGCACTGCATATAATACTGTTCGACTGAAAGAAATCTTTTGTTTCGATGATAAAACTTTTGTTTCGAAGAGAAATTTTTAAGTGGCTTTGGATTATATAGTCATAAAGAACCGGAGCAAATACTACTAGTAATATTTTTTACCTGTTGCTAGCTATAGGCTGACTTACTAATTTTCGATTTTGTACACAATAATTTCGTCAAAATGGCTGCATTCTTCAGCAAGATTATTTATTTTCAGCTCATAAAGGCTCTTTCCAGGCCAGCATATTCATTTCTTAAATCCGTTTGCCACTCCCCCCTCCTCCTTCCAGAAAAATAAGTGGTTGTCCCCCTAGCAAGTGGTTTAATTTGCCAGAAAATTGTGTAATTTCACGGCCAGTGTTTAATTTGCAAACTTCAAATTATACGCATGAAACAAAGAAATTTAATAAATTTAAAGATCATATTAAAAAAAAATCACCTTAAGAAATATGTAAAAAATGGAAATATTATATACTAAGTCAATATATCATACGTCCCAGGTGAAAACAACACTAAAAATTATCGCAATGATACTGATGATAATAACAAAAATACAACTACCGATAATAAAAAAATCAACAATTACGTTATACCGGGAATAACATGAATATACAATTATAGTTGGATCACATGAAAAACTATTGCTACTGATTTATAGTTTCAAGGTATACTACAAAATATTACAATTCAAGGATTAAAAATTTTCTGATCGCGATCACTATTAGCTACAAATCAAATATTAAATTACTTACAGAGCAAGCTCAACAACAATAAGAACCATCCAAAATATTTCATGATGTCGAAGCTTCTCGGTCGTTATGTTGTATTCTTATGCAGAACCTATTTAAGGATTTAAGCTTTATCACGGAACATTTTAATATATAATCCAATTGGCGCGTTTTGGTATACTCGTTAGGTCGCTTATCATGGTTACACATGATTACCAGAATTCTTCAGTGATTTATTTTGTTTGAACTGGTGCATAGTCACTAGCGGAGAATACTCAATTATCTCTTGCGGCAAAGAAAAAACAATACAAATCTCGATTAACAATTATAATGAGAAATGGGATATTTCGAGCATGGTGTTTTACTTAAAGTAGGATTTTATATTCTGGTTTAATTTCATATTTACACAGAACCAGAGATCAGTGATGCCTTCCATGAAATTATCATTATTACTGGGGCGTGTTTTTTTGTTCTTCGGTAGTGAACCAGAAGAGGTCCATTTCTGTTTTTTTTTTTTTTTTTTTTTTTTGCATTGGGAAATCTTCTGGCTCTCTTCTACCTCTTCCTTTTAAATAGGTACTTTAGACGGCAGAGGAACAAAACAAACATGGCGTCGCTAAGCCTAAATGACATTAATAAATTTATGAATGCTGATATAATAGAATGTGAGCTGTGTGATAAACGTTTTGGCAACCTTAGTAGGACATCACTGCAGGGACGATAAGCTGGATACATACAAGAACTTCACGGACAATAACAGTAAGGGGGCGACTATTTTATATTCTGAGGAGAAGGGGGTGAGCGGAGGAATTTTTGCGGATTTATTATTCATTTTAATCTGTCGCTAATCATGCCTATTTTTCAGCTTTTACCAGGCCACCATTCATATTAAAATCCTCCTATCCCCCACCCACCCCCCAAAAAAAATATCAAAAGGTTTTCCCCTTATTTAACACAAGTTCAAATTGATTGATTGTGGTTGCTTATTTTTAATGTCCAGTGACAAATATTTCATGCATGTTCAGGAAAACACGAGTTTAAAAGTCATATGAAAATAAGGAGATGGGGTATGATTGCCAATGAGGCAACTATCCACCGTAGGTCAAATGAAGTGGGTGTAAGCAATTATAGGCAACCGTACTGCCTTCAACAATGACAAAAACCAGAAGTCCATTACTAGGGTAATGAACTTCTGCAAAAACCCATACCGTATAGTCGGCTATAAAAGGCCCCGACATGAAAAATGTGAAACAATTCAAACGAAAAAACTAACGGCCTAATTATATATAACAAAACAATTTACAAAAAATCAAATATGAGTCGATAGATATGAACCAACAAGAACCACTGAACTACAGGCTCCTGACTTGGAACAGGCACATCAAGAATATTGCAGGGT